CATTGGGGCTGTTCATGCTTTGTAATAAAGCTGTGCGAAAAAAGACTTCATCCTAATTATCATGCTTTGAAGAAAGAGTCTATGCATATACAACAAAGTATTAATATAAGGACCAGTTTTTACAGCGCTTTTAAGGTTTTTTTATAAATGGGTTGAAATTGAAGTTTCAATTGTTTCTTTTGCCAGCCTGTATAACTTTGACTATTCTTCTTCAGTGCTTCTTTGACCTTTAGCATTCATGGTGTCAGTTTTTTTTCATGGTGTCAGTCTTTGCATCAGAAGGATGCAAAGACCAGGGCTAAGTTCATAGGCGGAAATTGAAGTTTAAATTGTTTATTTTGCCATCCTGTGTAGTTGCTTGTACAACTTCAACTGTATTCTCCTTCAGTGCTTCTTTGACAATTAGCATTCATGATGTCAGTTCTCTGGGTACATTTGTGTTGAATACAGTTAAACCAGGGTATAATTAAATTGATGAGCTCCCAGAAAAATTAATTCTAAAAAGGATTTCATTATGTGCGGGTTCAATACAAAAATTCGGAAAATAAACGTACAAATTAATCAAAAGGGGCACTGAAGGCAGAACTAACCCAAAAAACCTATATAGCAGTGAAAAACTGCGTTACTATTGCGATATCAATTATATGGACACTCTTGGCGGGTTTTTTGTTGTTGCCGCCGTGTTCCATAACAAGTATAAATTGTAGGTGTGTGCAAATATTCCGAACGTTTTTATATTCACCGAATATTGCATTTGTAATATTCGTACTCGATTCGATATAACCACATATTCGAAAATTTCAAATGTTCTAACTGGAATATTCTTTGAATATTCAATGTTCACAAATATTCATTTGCATATGTCACTGTGAAGAACTTACGATTTTGTGCATTTGCGATAAGAGCCTCAGTCGATCATGCAGTGATTACTACGATTCCGGCGTGAGTGCGGTGATGCCTGCATGGAAATTCACGGGACCGTGATGACTGCTACCAACGAATGCGGTGGCACGTCATCACGATACACCTACTAATGATGAACATTTCAATCATTCTAAATCATGTGCTGCCTGCACGGCAATGCATGTAGCATAGCGTTTTAGCGCTGTTAAGGTTAATTTAAACGTACCGACCACGTTGTTCGCAGCCGCGTCCTTGTGCACGGGACCCCAAGTGCGCATCGCTCGTGGAAACAAAGGCAACTCGCTGCCGCCGCATTGGCTTGACAAAATAGTCTTCACACCTTGGCTCGGTCCTGTGCTAAGCGAGCACAAAGAAAGAAATATATCTTTACGCAAGTGCAAATGCCTGCATATATGTTACAGGGTGCAGTGCTGGTGGAGTGAGCTTAGTAAGTGATGCACTGCACGCAATTAGCTATGAGCATGCTCAGCTTGACGTACAATGGTAACGCGTTTTATGTGTACCCACGCCAGTTTTTGCTAATGGATCGCCGTACAAATGTATGCGCATATGCCAACGCCTGACGAGTCGTCTGTCAGCTGTGCCGCTACTTCAGCATGTATATTCTCTTCATAGTTCCGGAAAGATTTCATGGTCAGACATGGTTATACAAATGAGCTGAAGTGTTTTTCTGCGCAATGGCAAACATAGAAAAAGCCATGCAGTTTAACCTTACAATGTCGTCATCGCATGTAGTTCTTCATCGCTAACCGCGGCACACGTAAGATGACGAATGGATTCATGCTTAGTTCCTCTGTGTTCCCGACAGTGCCTTTGAAAATCCGTTGTACTTGCATCGCGCTCGCGTGGCAACGTCTCCTACAATGAACCCTTTGTTACACCGTTTCTGCGATCTCGCCCTTTTGCCAACGTCGGTTTACTGCCGATGGCAGCCAGTGTGCCGAAGGGGGTCGCATGCAGCAAAATAGTGCCCTCGCCTCCGGGAGTTGTGGCTTTGTTAACAAAAAGGCATATTTGGGGCGTCTTTCTATGTCACATTAGTAATCGTCTATCTCGCGTGCTTACCTCATGTTATCGCTGCCTCTGTCACCTCGGTCAAGATGGTGCAGCTATCAGCGCTACACAACTTGATCGGAAGATGGCGAGCACGCAGTCCTTGAGAAAGGCAACAGAAGCAAGCGAGATATTGAGTAAGGCTGTGTGTTGAAAAACACCCCAAGTACTCCTATTTTTCTTAGAGGCTTGACTGGTGAGAAAAGGGAAGAAAATCGAAAATAAAACTATAAAATCGGGCTTTCGAGCCGAAACTGGTAGTGTGGAAACCTAGATGAATTGGGAACACATGGGCTGTTTAAATAATTCAATAGGTTTAAGTGCACGGGTGTTAATTGTTACATAATCACACCAGTGGCCTCATGCTCATCATGGCTGGTACGAAAACTTTTCTTTGTTTTTGTAATAAAGTGTTACCACATAGAAAAAAAAAAATGCAAAAGGTTTGTTGAACATGTGGATTGAACCCAAGACATCACAGTCACAAGCTCAACTATTACAGATTTGTGCTTTCTGGCAAGTACAGATGGTGACATATTTTTTTATTTTTGTGCACAATAACTGACTATAATAACAATTGTACTTTCCAGCATAAATATATTATTGATTAAAGAATCACTGATGGAAAAAACATTGCACCTCTTTATTATTTGATATTCGATTCATATTCGAAGCTAGGTATTGGTATTTGATTCGTATTAGAAAGTTTTGATATTTGCACACTCTACTAATTTGATAACATGCGCCCGCGCATCACAATTTTTACGAGGGGGCTGAAGTGCACGAGCACTGCTGAAGCAGAGATTAACTAAGTTGGCCCATCTCAATCGCCTGGAAAAACCTCAAGATAACATCCCCCATATGTTACTACTGCCATCGAACAGAATGGAAACCACCTGTCTTGAATGAGCATAAAAAAACACGGGAGGGGTGTCGCTCGAGTAGGAGCAATTAACTTTAGTTTTAAGGGAAGTCGGGATAGCTGGCACGCATGCTGTCGCGGCAAGTATATTAGTGCACTATCAACGCAAAGAGACTGTGTGAAAAGAGCATTCCCTGGAGCGGCCGTATTTGCCCACACCAGCGTTTTGTAGGAGTTCCGCGATATCGGATCCAAAAGAGTTGGCTGCCAGCCTTACTTTGTATAACATTACCATTTTTTGCTATTGTGTTCATTGCATTGCATTCAATGCACTGTCGTGTTGCTGCCAGAGCTAATCAGCTAATCACAAAGGTTATGAGCCTGCGAGTTTGTGGCGCAGCGCAAGACGTAAGTGCGTGATGAGTAGACCTCCGAAGATTGGTCGCCACCATTGTCTCGGAGAGTTTTCATCAGCGCCTAATCTTACGTCCCCTCAGCAGTGACGTCGCGGTTGTCGGCATTCAAAAAAAAAAAGGGGGGGGGGGGGGGAAATAGCAAAGCTTAATGTCGTTGGGGGCCACACCATGTGCGCGCAGTGAAACCGTGCACGCACGCACGGCGTCGAAAATGAAGAGCGATCAACGCAGATATCGCGAAAAACGATTTGGTAAAGCACCCTCCATGTGCAGGGCAACCCCACATATGTGACATTAACTAAAAGCGTGGCACTGCCAACGCAAAAGTAGTTTTCTTTTTATGTTTTAAGTTACGAGGGGGGCACACCCGCGCATGCTCCCACAGCGGCAAGAATGGTGGCAATGCTGGCTCCTGGCGCGCAGGCCCGCCTCGCGCTAACCCACGTGCAGTAATGAGTGCTCGCTCTCACCTGGTTGTCGCCGGCGCCGCAAACGCACCGTATGCGCTGCCGCCGCTTCGCGCTTGGTTGTCGGTGAGGTGCGCGTGGAAGGTGCATGCTCGTACCAAAATGAAAAAACCCAGGGTGAAGTTCCTATATTGTCCACGGGGAAAATTACTGCTGCCTCTGTCACCTCGGTCAAGATGGTGCAGCTATCAGCGCAACACAACTTTGGCGAGCACGCAGTCCTTGAGAAAGGCAACGGAAGCAAGCGAGATATTGAGTAAGGCTGTGTGTTGAAAAACACCCCAAGTACTCCTATTTTTCTTAGTGGCTTGACTGGTGAGAACAGAGAAGAAAATTGAAAATGAAACTACAAAATCGAGGTCTTTCGAGCCGAAACTGATAGTGTGGAAACCTAGATGAATTGGGACCACCTGGGCTGCTTAAATAATTCCATAGGTTTAAGTACATGGGTGTTAATTGTTACATAATCAAACAAGTGGCCTCATGCTCATCATGGCTGGTACGAAAGCTTTTCTTTGTTTCTGTAATAAAGTGCTACCACATAAAAAAAAAGATGCAAAAGGTTTGTTGAACATGTGGATTGAACCCAAGACATCACATTCACAAGTTCAACTATTACAGATTTATGCTTTCTGGCAAGTGCAGATGGTGACATATTTTTTTATTTTTGTGCAAAATAACTCACTATAAAAACAATTGTACTTTCCAGCATAAATATATCATTGATTGAAGAATTACTGATGGAAAAACATTGCACCTCTTTATTATTTGATATCCGATTCATATTTGAAGCTAGGTATTGGTATTTGATTCGTACCAGAAAGTTTTGATATTTACACACTCTACTAATTTGATTACATGCCCCCGCGCATCACAATTTTTACGAGCGGGCTAAAGTGCGCGAGCACTGCTGAAGCAGAGATTAACTAAGTCGGCCCATCGCAATCGCCTGGAAAACGCTCAAGATAACATCCCCCATATGTTACTACTGCCATCGAACATAATGGAAACCACCTGTCTTGAACGAGCATAAAAAAACACGGAAGGGGTGTCGCTCGAGTAGGAGCAATTAACTTTAGTTTTAAGGGAAGTCGGGATAGCTGGCACGCATGCTGTCTCGGCAAGTATATTAGTGCACTATCAATGCAAAGAGACTGTGAAAAGAGCATTCAGTTCTTGTGCAGTGCCATTTCAATGTTACTTTCATATTTGCATCGAAGTGTATCCAGAGTGGGCCTTTGCTAGTCTCACAAGCCTGGCATTGGCAAATTTCCACAGGTGCAGCCAGGTGCAGGTGCCCAGACAGCACGATTTCCAGTGTTCGCCTCTCCTGCATCGACGCTGGAACACGACGCGTCCCTTGCCAAGACTTGCTGCAGTGTTGCACATGCAATGCAGCGGCTCCTCGACAAGCTGTGCCGCTGCCACGGCCAGTTGTGTAAGGCACCTCATGCGCTGAGGTGCGTATGGTTGTATTCGTCCTGAGTACACTAAAATATATTGGTTTGAAGATTGGGAAGTTCGGATGCATAATTTATAGGGAGCGCGCATGGAAGACCGAGGCCCAGAGAACACAGCACAAGCACTCACTTTCAGTGGAAGTTAAGGAAACAAACAAACAAAAAATTTACCTACAGCATGTCTATGATGTCAACCTTAAGTGAGGAGATGCGGGTACAGTTGGCTCGGTCATTGAGTCACCGCTTATTTATCAACAGGCTGGACAGGAATTCAAATTGCAAATGTCACACATTGGTTAAAACCAAGGCTAACGGCCACATGAGGCACTAACGCTTTTCAATATGAAACCTTTACCAATGTTCTGTCTGTTCCGGTCTGAAACCTAAGAAATCAAAGTGCTAGTATAGTAAGTAGGGGGTGTGCAAATATCAAAATTTTCTAATACAAATCGAATACGAATGCATAGCTTTGAATACGAATCGAATATTGAATAATAAAGAGCTTCATTTTTTTTTCACCAAGCTTCATTTTTTTTCACCAGTAATCTTTTATTCATTCATACGCTTAAGTTAAAAGCAGTACACTTGTTGGCTGTTCTAGTCTGTTATTGCACATACACACAAAAAAGTCATCTGTACCTGCCAGGAAGCATATGACTGTAATAGTTTAGCTTGTGACTGTAATGTGTTGAATCCAATTCACAGGTGTAAAAACTTTTTGTATCTTCTTTTTATGTGGTAGCACTTTATTACGAAAAAAAGAGGGTTTTGTACCTATCATCATGACTATAGTGTGCATGAGGCACGGAGCGAGAATATTTGAGGAGGCCAAAAAACTTCTTCCGCTAACTTTTTCTTCTTATCGTTCTGTTGCCCGTCCGAGCTATTACATCCCACGCCAACCAAATCGGCACTCATGTTCTGGGAGTGAATGAAGCAGAAGGAGAGGGCAAATAGAGTGTGATGCGGTTCTTGGCGATGATAACTTTTTATCTGCAAGTTGTAGCAACTCTTTTGTATTATGTACACCTCTACTAGAATAATGTAATATACGTCGATGATGTGATGCACTTTTATGCTGACGCACGTTCGTGATGACTGGTGCATAAATTTTCCCAAATTTTTTTTTTTTTTTGCTGCAGCTGTGTTTTGGAAGATCAGACTGAGAAGCAAATGGCCAAGCTGAACCAGGCGAAGACCATCAGCAACCTCCTTGACCAGCAGCTCAGGTTACTTTCCGTCAGGTGAGTCTGCATCGCTTGTCACAAGCTTTTAAGAGTGTGCGGCTGTGGGGTATGTTAATGAATGCTGACATTACGTGAAAGGCTGTCAGGCTGCATTGTAATCAGTCCTGCACTATAACGGTTACGTTATAAGTGGTCTCAACCACATTATAAAAAACACAGACATCACCGCTACACCAGTTTTCAGTCGTTAAACCCCAGTAATCATTTTCAGTCACCACTGTACTAGTCTTTTTCAATAGTAAAAAGGACATAAGTGGAAAATTTACACAGCTTGAAGCACCAGGAAAAGCTGCACGGAATAGCCAATGAAAAGTGTCGCGCAAGGAAATGTTATCGTATTTACTCTATTCTACCGCGCCCTCGATTGTAATGCGCACCGGGTTTCCACGATGAAAAAAAAAAGTAAGACATCGATTGCAACGCGCACCCATTTTTCTCGTTGGCCCACACGATCACACCACTCGGGAAAAAGACTCCTTTCAGGAGCGTCTTCCGTTTAAATATGAGGTACGGGGGAAGCTTGTGCCTATCTGACTTGCAACGGAGCATTGCCGTCACTCTAGTTTCGCTGTGGCCCGATGTCAGCACGCGAACTTCCTTCGCCCTCTTTTTCTCGACGGTTGTGGTGCCAGGCACGTCGAAGTAAAGAGGCGTCTGATTGGCATTCCCGATTTGCCCAAGCAGGTAGCCGTTGTTGCGCCGCAAGTTTAGGACGAACCTCTAAAAACTGTGAAGTTTTTTATCGTACTCCTCCGCAAAACTTTTCGCATATGCCTGTTCACCTTCAGAGGGAAAAGCCTTTCCTCTTCATAAAGTTGGTTAGCCAACACCTGCTCGCGTTAAACTGGCTCCGCGTTAGACCTTTTTCTAAGGCTAATTGTATAGCCCACACTTGGAGAAGTTCTGTCGTCACGGGCCGCTGTGCCGCTCGCTGCTCAAGCACATACTCGCCGAGCAGTTCTTCAATTTGCGGAAACTAACCCTGCTGTGGTCCACTGAAGCCTTTGCATGAAGCTTTGCTGTCGACAATCTTCTGCTTTTGTTTCCGCCAGTCCCGCACCCACGTTTCGGGAACTCTGAACGTCCGCGATGTGGCCCGATTTCCGTCCGTTTCTGCACACGCGATGACTTTTCTTTTAAAAGCGGCATCGTGGTGCACTCAAGTTTTGGGAGTCAGCCCTTCCACGCCGTCGATTCTAATGCACTACAATATGACGAACTCCTCAGCACACGTACGAAGTGCTGCACATGCGAAACCCATAGGCAGAAATGGCCGACGCGCCATGCCGACGCACGTAGGGGGCGGCCATTTTGGAATGCCGATGGCAATAGAATGACCGTATTAATTTTTTTTTTCATACTCGATTCTAACGCGCATGCGATTTATGAACTCGCTTAACCAGAAAAATGGTGCGCGTTATATTCGAGTAATTACGATAGGCGGCCTGATGTCTTGTATATTTAGAAATTTAGGGCTGTCTGCACGAAAGTGAGGAGCCGAGAAATAATTTCACATTTTGGGATAATATATGTCAACATACATGTGCCTGTGTGCTTATTTATTTTGTTATACATGATGAAACTTCTCTCTTTTTGGGACTTCAAAAGTTGTGTTTCAAAATGTGTGACAGATAACTATTCGGAAAGATTGATGTGCTCTTTCAAAGTGAGCTTGTTTTTCTGTATCTTTTCACATCACTTGCAGCCACTGCGACCTGTGTGATCTGGCAGAGCTGCTACAGCCTCAGGCACAATCCAACGAGCTGCTACGGCTATCACGAACGCTTGCCGACAAGCGAGAGAGCCAGGCTGCCGTGAGTGAAATTGGCTACTATGAAATCCACAAGATACAGGGAAACCTTGATTATTCATTTCTCGGTCTTGCGATGACTTGCATTTTATGACTCGTCAGCTTGGTCGAGGCAAGACCCTCAAAAAAATAATGTTTAGAACTGCATTACGCGATGCTATTAACGCAATAGCGTTAAAGGGCTCGTTTTGCAGAAATTTTGGTGTCGGCATCGGCAGTTGTGAGCTAAAAATCATCTTGCGTGTGACCGGAAAATGGAGAAGGAGGCAAGTAAAAAAAATTAAAACATTCAGGGTCTTGGTGAGGTTGGAACCCGGGTCGTTCGCCTGGCAAGCAAGTGTTCTAGTACAGAGCTACGCATTTGCTCAGAAATACAGTGAAAATAACTTTTCCTGCTTGGAAACAAGGTGAAAGTAACTTGCATGCTTTACAAACGCATGTGTCCTGTACAGATGCTTCACAGTGATACGTGTAATATCACAGTAATAATGCATGTTGCAAGCGTACATTGTGATTGGGCGTCAGAACATGCTTTTATCATGAATTCATGGTTTAAAGCAGGCCACCCACTACAATAGACACACATGTTACTGCGGATTTTCCCTTAACACAACCTAGGGGGTGCTTAGCAAGCTCGAAAAGAAGCGATGCGCATGAATGTTCGTGATTTAAAGCATGCTACGCATTACACAGAATGCAGGCGTATGCGAAAGCTTCACTGACACAAGCTATTTTGAACTAGGTACAGGATATAGCTATCGCATTCATCTCGAAGCTTAAGAATCCCCCAATTTTTCACCACAATCCTACATCGTACAGAAATTGTCTGATACTATTAGAGAAATAAATAATCTTTTTTTACTCTCATCTGACATCCACCAAGTATTCGTGGGTGCTAAAGAAAAACCTATAAAACCCTTGATGACAATTAGAAAAGATGAGTGTGTGAGGCAGGCGCAGTATGCCTTCTTAGAATTCAAACTTTATTCTTCTTATTGGCAGCTTTTTTTTTTTGTGATTGAGCCTTCCTTGCTTTAAAATTGATTTTGCATATCCATGGATCGTGGGTATTTCTTTAGGACAGTTGCCCAGACAAGTTTAATCTACAGGGAGTAGCTTCGGCTAGTCCACAAACTAGTCTTCCAAATACGGATATTTTTGCATTTATAGTCCGTGGAAACTTTTCCTGGTCGTCATGCTGCTGAAAATCTCTATTTTGAAGCAGTCACAGGCCTCGTGCATGCAAAAAGAATGTGGCACAATCATCGGTGTGCAGAAGAGGTTTCCCATGACATGAGCATTTATAATAATGGTGGCATATCACCAATTGCATTTCAAGAAGATACCAATATGACATGGACAGCTAAGTCGCGCTATAAATTATTCTGTGTGAATTCGAAACAAAATGGGTTTAGTCGCTATTATGCGATGGCAATGACACCAACCATATATGACCTCCGTGGCAGGAGGCTGTTGCCATTGCAGTTTTTGTTTCGTTTTTACATGCTGGCAATTTTGGACTCGTCTTATTGCAACGAAAAAGCGCATCAGCTTTTTTTTTTTCTTTAAGTTTAGAGCAAATATTTGCTCACACCTTCTTTTATTAAATACTTTCTTGTATATTTAAGAAAATTTAACCTACCTTCTTTTTGGAGAAGTGCATGGTTGTGGCGTGGGCTTAATAAACGAGTACTGACACCATTTTTTGGAGGCAAGTTTACAATGCCATACAAATCTCCCGTATACAGAGACGGCTCTGAGTAAGTGGGACGCTCAGCAAATGCTGATGAGATATTTTATTTTGATATTAAAGTAAAATTTCTCGCGGCACACCTACCGACATTGACACTAACTTGATGTAAAGCTACTGTACTATAACGAAGTGCTTGATTGGGCTGGTCGGTGCTGCATGGTAGACGAAGAAAGTGCTTAACAGCGCAAATGACTGGAGGGGATAGGAGAGACGTTAACAGAGCTCTGTTCTCGTCTCTTCTATTCCATCCTGTCGCTTGCGCTGTTAAGCACTTTATTCGGCTACAGTACTAATCCTGGTGACTTCACACAGCAGTCTGGCAACTTGGGATGATGTCAAGCACCAAAACGCAAAAATGGCAGCTTGCATGTCGCTGTCTCAATCATCTGCTTGCACTGTGTGGCCAATAGGGGCTTCTAGCTCGTACGTACAATTCTTTACGTTTCTGTGTTACCGGATACCGAACAGGACCTGTGCATACGCAGGTCTTTACGAAACGTAAACCTTTACGTAGCGTAAGCTACTTGTTGGATGGGCTTTACATTTGCAACTCTATCTGGTGAATCCACATTCGTTCGTAAGAGCTTGTGATATCCCCATTGCGGAGACTCCAGCCATTGAGTCGAAGTAAGCCAAAGTGCGAGCGCCAATAGCAGTTACATTGTTTCAGCCAGATTATGAAAACTAGAATGGCCTAGAACATCAATATCGTAGACGTGTGAGCCCCAGATGGCTGGATAGGTGGCACAATCTAGCGAGGTCGAAATGAACCAGAAAATCACAAAATTGTTATTGTTAAAACATTGTGCCTTGTACGTCGGAAAAAAAAACTTGAAACAGCATTATTAGGAATGAGTTACCTTTTAATCATTTTCAGCTCAAAAAATTATGTGTAAGCCAATGTCGAGACCATCGTGGCAGTAACCTTGTATTTGTTCACCCTTTCATCAATATGAGGATACTGTACACGATAAATAAACGTCTCGTGATTTTGCCGCAGCAGTGATTCAATTCTATCTGAGTTAAAGATAGTTTAAATGCTGTTAGCATCACCATTTATGGTTTGCGAAAACGTAAAAGCATACGTTTGCCTGCGTATGTAAACATTTACGTAGGGGCAGTTAAAACGTTGAAAAATATGCGTGTCGGTAACACAGTAAACGCAAACAGTTATCCGCTGACACGTTAACGTAAAGAAGTATACGTACAAGTGAAAAGCCCCTATTGTCATCCAGAATACCTGTGAAGCGAGCTATGGGAGTCTAGAAAGGTGTATGTGCACGCAAATACAAGATATACGTTTATCAGAGGACAAGTGAATCGTTTGATGTTAACTTTTTCGCCATGGCACCAATATTTTGCCCTGTGAAGTGTCTTGCGCGGGTGAAACGAAGGACAATAGGTGCAAGTTCCACCGATTCCAGTTCAGTCTGGCGCTGAGACAAGCAGGGGTCGAGGCGGAAACTGGACGCTAACCAAGCAGAGTTTACTCTGTTTGGTGCACTTAACTCCAAGTGCGTACATGCGCAACATGCAGTTGCTGACCGACCTGCACCTTAGGAGTGATGGCAACCTAATGTTGTGCCCTTCTGCCGCAACAGTTATCACATGTGCGGCGTGCAGCAGACTAAGTAGGCGATCGAAGAAGCAATGCGGGGACGAGGATACGTCATGAAAAGTCGCGCGTGCACATACTACCGTGTAGTGGCACTGCTTATACCAAGTCGTGACGTCAGGGTGCAGTAGGAACCGAAACTAGCTTTTAAAAGCATGCTGTAATTAATTTTACAGGGCGCATTCATGCTTACCCCTGCATTTTCTACGCTCTCGGGGGCTTGGGCTATCATTTGACGTAAAAAAAGAATGATAAGGATTTTTGAAAATCCTTAAATTTGCATTTTTTTATAACCGTTGTCGCTCATCTCACAGCATATTATTTGTGATGCCATAAATGTTTGAGGTGGCAAATGTAATGTGCCCATCACAAAGGAATTGAGAACATCAGTAGCTTCTACACGGAACCAACACCTTGCATTTTTGGAAACTTAAAAGAGGCAGGAGGACGAGAAACAGAAAAATAAATGTTGCATTGAGATGGAGGTCGAAATGCTCAATAAAAAGGAAAAGAAACCAGAAGCTGCTGTTATGGAAGTACTGTATTTACTCACATAATTTGCGCACTTTTTAACGCTATTTAGGGGCCCCGAGAAGGGGGTGCGCAAAGTATGCGGGGATTTCGTGAGCGCATATACGAAATATTGTGCCACAGTCCTAACGCACACAGTATAAACATTAAAAAAAGAAATTAAATTGTAACGCAAATGAAACATACTTTCTAATTTAAAAGAATTAGCACGTACTTTAACCAGGCAGAAATGTCACGCGCGGTGTAGTAGGAATCACTGATCACGAAGTCTGATTGGGAAATAATCATCGTCGTGGCTGCTGTCCCCGCCCTTTCAAAGCACGTCGTCCTCGGTTCCGCCGAGCGCATTCAAATTTCCCATTTTTCTTCAAGCTCTTCTCAACAATGCTGGGAGAAACTACGTACTATGACACAGCGAAATGGAAGACCTAAGCATCCGAACGTAATTGAAAGGGCCTTCAATGGCAGAAAACTTGCATGAGCAAGCATGCACACCTTCTGCTTTCTCACGTACCGATCGCGCCAATCGTCACACGTTGAAGTACTTCGCCTTGAAGTGCTTGGCAGCGGCGCGGTTCCCGGTTCCTTCGGCATCGCAAGAAAACTGTGAAAATTTGTCGGCCGGATGGCGAAACCTAAACTTCTGAAATCGACCAAGCGTGCGTTGCAGTGCGAAAGCAGAGAACGGAAGAGGACAGTTCGCGCGACAGGTCTCCGCATGTCTCCGATGCCGGAAGTTGTCCGTGCCATGACGTGAGCGTTCATTGTTGCGGTGGTAGAGGTAGGGAGAGGCAAACGCTCTAGCAGTTCCGGCTACCCGTTTGGGTATAGTATTCTAGGGACTTTGGTTCGGGGGAAGTCCTCGGAAGTAGGGACTTTGCACACGCAGCCCGTTTGACTGCGCTTGCTTGCTCGGTGAGGCGTGCCTGTCTGAAGCATCGAAATATCCAAAATCTCTTCATGCGCGCGCCGGCGAACTGGCTCGGGCAGATTGGGGAGATCAAAATATGTGGGTAAATGTTTATTTTTAGCAAAGCTGGCAAAATACAAGGGGTGTGAAAAATATGCGAGTAAATATGGTAACAGCTACAGCAGATTCATATGCAGAAAAGGCAGAGACAGTTGGCGGCTTGACATGCATTATCAAGTCAAACAGCCTCAGGAAGACTGCAAAGATCAAGCAGCAGAAGATAGTGGATACTGATATAAAAATTCGGAAAAAAACCACAAGACATTGCATAATAACTGTTCCTTAGTACTTCCTATTCGAATAAAAGTTTGCAACTTGTGTCATACTGAAAGTGATTATTTATGCAAGTTTAAGAAACTGTGATTGAAAGTTGTCTAGAAAGAAAATGTCATTGAAGCCATGTTTTTGATGTCTGCATTCAGTGATGTTACTTTTGTGGGGGTGCTGACACCCCCCCTGTAAAGTTGTCTGCGCCGCGTGGTGCACGTGTCTTGCCCCAAGGCTTTGTTTCGGTGGTGACCACCGCCGGGCGATATATGGCGTTGTGTTCGCTTTGAGTACCACTGTTGGTAGAGTGGTAGCGCCGGCGGTGGCCCCTGGCGGAAGGCGGGCCTTGGTGGTGGGCGAGAGTGGAGCCTCTTCTGCGCGTGGCGGCTGCCGCGAACGGTTGTCTGTAGCGTGGGTCCCCGGTGCTCGGCACCGCGGGCTTTGCGCCGGGGTCCCACGTGGTAAGTCAAGCATTGGTGACGCCGCCTTGGGTATGTGTTAGTGTGTTGTGTGTGTTAGTGTGTGTTTATCATGTTATTGTGTGTTTAGTGTGTCACTGCGTTATGTTGTTTGTATGGTAGCGTGTTAGTTAAAATTGATGTATCATTCGCGGACGATATCATCGTCTAAATTAGTTAATAAATGTATGTATGTTGTGTGCTTTGTAACGACCGCGTCTGCTGTGTCCGTTCACTCCAAGAGGGTGGCGTGACGAGGCGCTCGTTCGCCTCGCCGAGACCCCACACCCTTTTTCAATGTATTCTAGTTATTTCAAGCCTTTATCCTCCCCTAGACTCCTGTTAATTGGGTTTCTAACAGACAGTGTATTCTTAGAAAATTCGCACACATAGCCTTGAAAGTCCTTGAATTTTACATACCCTTGAATTTTTTGTCATGTAGATGAGCATGAACCCTATGAATGCTAACTTATAGGCTTTTGCGAATAGCGAATTTTAGGTTCGAAGCGAATGGTCATTTTGGTCAAATAATTTCAAATCTGATTCGAGTAGTATCTAAGACATAAGAAAAATGGGCATATTTATCATGACCTATCCTGTGCAATATTTAAAAAATATTGAAATAAGGCCTGTGTGCGAAGGCATTTTTTTTTGTTCAGAGGAAGTTTAAACATTTTTGAGTCTAGCAGGAATTGAATTTCAGTAGAATGCAAGTGATAACTTGTGAAATATGATACATTTTAAAATTAACTACACTTGGAGCATATGAGCCAGCATAACAAGCTGTTAAACTAAAAAAAAAATGATGAATTTATTATGTTCATTTAAAGGGGCCCTGCAGTACTTTTTTAAGTAGACATAAAATATACTAACTAAAGGAGCTTATTGGCTTAAATTTACTGCCACAAAAATTTTGAGAATTTGTTCAGTACGAGTGGAGCATGCAACCCGCCATTGCATACTCTCTTCTCTCGTCCCGACAAAAGTGCTGGAAGCTAAGCAGAAAGGGACGGCATGGGAAAAAAATATATGTAGCATGCGCCTCGTCACCTTGAAAACTCTCTCTCTCTTTTTTTTTCAAATATGCGACCTCTTGTGGTGACCCAAGTAACGAGCGAGCCTGCCATGCTTAAATCAGCCAATGGCTGATACAGTGGCTGCGAGGAGTGAATTTTTAGATTTTGGCATCATTTGTCGAGAGCATAAAAAGTGATTTTCAGCCGACATTGAGGATTTATTGTGAATCGCAGGCCGCATGCTGCGCTATAATATTTGGCTCACGTGTTCTCGGTAGGCTTAACTATCCATCGGCAGCGTTTTGCAACCACGCTAAAGAGTGCTGCAGGGCCCCTTTAACATTGAAGTGGGGCTTCGCGGCAGTGTGTATTTCTTATGGTGAGGTGCTATCACGACTTTGCACCACTGAACTGCAATGAAATCACCTTTACAAGGAGTTACATGCAGACGAATATACATCTATTCGTTCATGACGAATACTTCGAAGTTTTCAATAATTTAAATTTGAAACGAAGCGAATTGAATACTCTACTATTCATTTAAATATTCGAAGCATTCGAATATTCGTACAATCATAGTAACTTAAACTTGCACAATCTCGAAAACACCACTCTTATAATGGCTAGGCAGTTACTAAGCTAGGAAATGTGTCTGTATGCTTGTCCTGTGAAGAACAAGGAAATCCACGTGCTTGTGAAATGGCCCTATTGCAGATGACGGAGCAGGTGTCGAAGCTGATGGCTGACGTAGCTCACCTAGAGCAGCGCATCTTGAAGGGGCGCTTGCTGCGGAAAGAGTGGGAGTCCCTGTGCTCCGGTGTACCGAGTCTCCAAGGATGGTGGGTGCCTCGTGTACTTTGCTGAAAACAGTGCCAACATCTGTTTTTGATGTTGCCGGAAGTAGCAGACATTACTTGCACACTATAGGATCAGATCCCATCTGAAGGCTAAGTGTAAAAAATTTTACAAACCAGAAAGCTAGTTTCAAGGTAAGAGAAGCATCCGGAAAAGTAAGCTTGAACTGCACCATAGACGACTTATCACTAACTGCCTGCAATTCAACCTCAGCGGCTACGTAGTCTTTTGTGACTACACTGAATCGGTGCTCCTGCGGAGAAACTTGGCAAGTGGTGGAAACAGAAAAAGAACAAGGTGATGAAATACTTATCACTACCACAAAGGGCCAGTGCTTTTTCATATGTGCGTAGGTTTCATATGTGCGTAGTTGGCCTCAGAAATGTAGCGATCCTATTTGGCGTTGGGGTTGTTCTTGTTCCACAAATTTTCTGTCTCCAACAGTCTGATTATGTTGCTCACAGTTCATGCAAAGTGACGCACTAGTCATAATTGGTGCCGTGCTCTGACAGTGTCATACACATAATCCTCCTGTTTTGCGGATTTTGTCACATCGGCCAAGCTGGCCAGCGTATAAAGAAGACCATTGCAGAAATGTTCTTCTGGAATCATGAGCGCGGGTCCGCCACTTTAGGCAACTCCTTGCGTCGCTTGTGTTTGCACACTCATTTGACCACATACGTGTACTATGCAGGGATAAAGAAGAATGAGCTTGCCTAATTTTAAAGGCCTACCAGAGTTTTAGCAGCTAGTGCAGCAAGCTTTTACTTATGTTTGTATTGCACGTTGAACTGCTGATTGTAATTGAGACCCATCGGGATGAAATTTTTTAACCGTGATTGGCTATACCTCCTGCAGCTCTCATAATGGAGCGTATCACGACCACAAAAATTCTCTTCAAATCAGGCTCCATCATGATCAGAAATTACCGTGCGACACTGGCATTACGCCTCAGAGCAAAAGGAAAACCTTCTTCGACTTCGACATCTATAATTTTGACTGGATTGCGTATACCGTTTTTTGTACAGTTTTACACTTTGGTTGAGGGTAAAGTCAGGTGTGTGAATGCCCCATGCATGAGTTGTTCCATTTCTACATTGGTTTATTAGGAATATATTTCATGCAGGAGTCAGCACTGTGTTACATGATTCATTCTTTCATTCACACTGTAAGATGCAGTTATGGTGACTTGCAGTTGTTATATTTGTTCTATCTGCCAGCCATAGTATGTGAAGTTACTTGCCTACTGCCTTATTAACTTGTGCCTCTTTTTCTTTTTTGTTCAATCCAGCTCTGAAACTGCCACAACTTACGTCCAGAAAATCCGCGAAAAGACGGCATTTATAACTCCCGACGGGCTCTATCAGTTCAAAGTAATGCCGTTCGGGTTATGCAATGCCCCGGCTACATTCGAACGAATGATGGACGCTCTTCTTCACGGTTTCAAGTGGTCAATCTGCTTATGCTACCTTGATGACGTCATTGTTTTTTCGCCAACTTTCGAAACTCACCTCGAGCGTCTCTCAACAATTCTTGCGGTTTTCCGCAAAGCAGGGCTCCAACTAAACTCGTCGAAATGTCACTTCGGCCGCCGGAAGCTCACTGTCCTTGGACACCTTGTCGATTCTTCTGGTGTTCGTCCCGATCCTGAGAAAATCCGTGCCGTCAAAGATTTCCCTGTACCGACCTCTGCGAACGATGTTCGAAGCTTTGTGGGCCTTTGTTCTTACTTTCGTAGATTTGTGCGGAATTTTGCTGACCTCGCACGACCGCTCACGGAACTACTAAAAAAAATGTGACTTTTGTGTGGGGACCTGAACAAACCAGAGCATTTGTTGAACTGACGAGTAGACTTATGATGCCACCGATTCTCGGCCACTTTGATATATGCGCTCCAACGGAAGTGCGTACTGACGCGAGCGGCCACGGAATCGGAGCCGTTTTGGCACGACAGCATGGCTGCGAGCGCGCTATGCATACACTAGCCGTCTTTTTTTGCCAGCAGAGCGAAATTACTCCATCACAGAACGCGAATGCCTCGCACTCGTCTGGGCAGTGGCTAAATTTCGGCCGTATTTGTATGGACGCCCGTTCACGGTTGTCACTGATCACCACGCCTTATGCTGGCTGTCGTCCTTAAAAGATCCTAGTGGACGTCTCGGCCGGTGGGCTCTACGGCTACAGGAATATTCCTACATGGTTGTCTACAAATCAGGTCGCCACCATGAGGATGTTGATTGCTTGTCGCGTCATCCAGTAGACCCAGCAGACCTTTTTGGGAGCGATGAGTCTACTTGCGTTTTGGCACTTTCCACGTTTAGCAACATCGGAGATCAGCAACGCCGTGATCCTCACTTGAGAGATATCATCCTTCGGCTGACTGGTCCCACAACTCCTCCGTCTCTCCGTTTGTTCCTGCTCCGAGACGGCGTATTATATCGCTACAGCATGCATCTTGACGGACCTGAGCTGCTACTGGACATACTCCAACATATGCGTCAGACTGTCCTCGTGCAGTTACATGATATTCCGACAGCTGGTCACCTGGGAGTTTCAAGAACTTATGACCGCGTTCGACGTCGCTTTTTTTGGCCCGGTATTTACCGATCCGTCTGCTGTTACGTCGCCTCATGCAAATCCTGTCAACACCGCAAAAAACCAGCAACCATTAAAGCAGGACGCCTTCAACCCATTCAGATCCCATCCGAACCATTTTTTAGGGTAGGTGTTGACTTACTAGGACCGTTTCCTTTATCGGCCTGCGGAAATAAGTGGATAGCAGTCGCCATGGATTACACCACTCGGTATGCCATCACGCGGGCCCTTCCAATCAGTTGTGCGACCGACGTCGCTGACTTTCTTCTAGAAGACGTCATATTACACCACGGCGCTCCTCGGCAACTGATTACCGATCGGGGTCGCTACTTTTTATCACAAGTTATCCAAAACATATTGCAATCTTGCGCTACAAAGCACAAGTTCACAACGGCGTATCATCCTCAAACCAACGGGCTCACGGAGCGGCTAAATAGAACCATCACGGACATGCTCGCCATGTACGTTTCTTCCGACCATCGTGACTGGGACTCCGCCCTTCCATTTGTAACATTTGCCTATAATACGTCTCGGCATGACACTGCAGGTTTCTCGCCATTTTTCCTCCTGTACGGACGAGAACCTTTGTTGCCTTTCGACACGCTCCTTCCTGCCGTTGGCCACACGTCAGAATATGCCCGCGATGTGATTTCTAGAGCTCTAGAGGCACGTGAGATTGCTCGCCGGCGTCTGAGCAATTCGCAGGAACGACAACGACAGGTCTACAACGCATGCCATCATGATGTCCACTTCAGTCAAGGTGACACAGTCCTTCTCTGGACGCCGTCGCGGCGAGTTGGCCTGTGCGAAAAGCTGACTTCACCGTACTCGGGCCCGTACCGTGTGGTGCGCCAAGTCACCGACGTGACATGTGAAATTGAACCTCTTAACGCCACCAGCGCGCGATCGTGTTCTGACGTTGTTCACGTCACTCGGCTGAAACGATATTACTCAGACCAACCAAGCACCGAGACGGTGCCTTCGCCGCCGGGGGTGATGCTACGGGGTACCACAAATGAACATTGTAGAAAAGAGGACGATGTTTAGGGCGAGCTCGTGCAGAAGACCGGGCTCCATATTGTATGCCTGCCTGTTTACCAAAAGTAAGGGCATTTTTCAGACGCCTTCCCGCCGTAACAATATGTGGGTAAATGTTTATTTTTAGCAAAGCTGGCAAAATACAAGGGGTGTGCAAAATATGCGAGTAAATATGGTAACAGCTACAGCAGATTCATATGCAGAAAAGGCAGAGACAGTTGGCGGCTTGACATGCATTATCAAGTCAAACAGCCTTAGGAAGACTGCAAAGATCAAGCAGCAGCAGTAGATACTGATATGAAAATTTGGAAAAAAACAACAAGACATTGCATAATAACTGTTCCTTAGTATTTCCTATTCGAATAAAAGTTTGCAACTTGTGTCATACTGAAAGTGATTATTTATGCAAGTTTAAGAAACTGTGATTGAAAGTTGTCTAGAAAGAAAAATGTCATTGAAGCCATGTTTTTGATGTCTGCATTCATTGATGTTACCCTTTTTCACTGCATTCTAGTTATTTCAAGCCTTTATCCTCCCCTAGACTCCTGTTAATTGGGTTTCTAACAGACAGTCTATTCTTTGAAAATTCGCACACATAGCCTTGAAAGTCCTTGAATTTTACATACCCTTGAATTTTTGTCATGTAGATTAGCATGAATCCTATGAATGCTAAGCTATAGGCTTTCGCGAATAGCAAATTTTAGGTTTGAAGCAAATGGTGATTTTTGTCGAATAATTTCAAATCTAATTTGAATAGTATCTAAGACATAAGAAAAATGGGCATATTTATCATGACCTATTCTGTGCAATATTTAAAAAATATTGAAATAAGGCCTCTGTGCAAAAGCATTTTTTTTTTGTTCAAAGGAAGCTTAAACATTTTTCAGTCTAGCAGGAATTGAATTTCAGTAGAATGCAAGTGATAACTTGTGAAATATGATACATTTTAAAATTAACTACACTTGGAGCTTATGAGCCAGCATAAAAAGCTGTTAAACTAAAAAAAAAAAGAATAATGAATTTAATATGTTCATTTAAAGGGGCCCTGCAGTACTTCTTTAAGTAGACATAGAATAGACTAACTAAAGGAGCTTATTGGCTTAAATTTACTGCCACAAAATTTTGAGAATCTGTTCAGTACGAGCGGAGCATGCAACCCGCCATTGCATGCTCTCTTCTCTCGTCCCGACGAAAGTGCTGGAAGCTAAGCAGAAAGGGACGGAATTGAAAAAAAATATATGTCGCATGCGCCTCGTCACCTTGAAAACTCTCTCTCTTTTTTTTCTTCAAATATGCGACCTCTTGTGGTGACCCGAGTAACGAGCGAGCCTGCCATGCTTAAATCAGCCAATGGCTGATACAGTGGCTGCGACGAGTGAATTTTTAGGTTGTGGCGTCGTTTGTCGAGAGCAGAGAAAGTAAGTTTCAGCTGACTTTTGAGAATTTATTGTGAATCGCAGGCCGCGTGCTGCGCTATAATATTTGGCTCACGTGTTCTCGTAGGCTCAACTATCCATCGGCAGCGTTTTCCGACCACGCTAAAAAGTGTTGCAGAGCCCCCTTTAACATTGAAGTGGAACTTTGCGGCAGTGTGGGTTTCTCTTGGTAAGGTGCTTTCACAGCTTTGCACTACTGCACTGCAGTGAAATTGTTTTTACAGAAAGTTACATGCGGATGAGTATACATCTATTCGTTCATGGCGACTTTTTTGAAATTTTCAATAACTTAAATTTGAAATGAAGCACATTTGAATACTTTACTATTCATTTGAATATTCAAAGCGTTCAAATATTCGTACAATTCTAGTAACTTAAACTTGCACAATCTCGAAAACACCACTCTTATGATGGCAAGGCAGTTATCAAGCTAGGAAATGTGTCTCTACGCTTGTCCTGTGAAGAACAAGGAAATTCATGTGCTTTTAAAATGGCCCTATTGCAGATGACGGAGCAGGTGTCGAAGCTGATGGCTGACGTAGCTCACCTAGAGCAGCGCATTCTGAAAGGGCGCTCGCTGCGGAAAGAGTGGGAGTCCCTCTGCTCCGCTGTACCGAATCTCCAAGGATGGTGGGTGCCTCGTGTACTTTGCTGAAAACAGTGCCAACATCTGTTTTTGATGTTGCCGGAAGTAGCAGACATCACTTGCACACTATAGGATCACATCCCATCTGAAGGCTAAATGTAAAAAATTTTACAAACCAGAAAGCTAGTTTCAAGATGAAGAGAAGCATCTGGAAAAGTAAGCTTGAACTGCACCATAGACGACTTGTGACTAACTGCCTGCAATTCAACCCCAGCGGCTACGTAGTCTTTTGTGACTACACTGAATCGGTGCTCCTGCGGAGAAACTTGGCAAGTGGTGGAAACAGAAAAAGAACAAGTGATGAAAATACTTATCACTACCACAAAGGGCCAGTGCTTTTTTCATATGTGCGTAGGTTTCATATGTGCGTTGTTGGCCTCAGAAATGTAGCGATCCTATTTGGCGTTGGGGTTGTTCTTGTTCTACAAATTTTCTGTCTCCAACAGTCTGATTATGTTGCTCACAGTTCATGCAAAGTGACGCACTAGTCCTAATTGGTGCCGTGCTCTGACAGTGTCATACACATAATTCTCCTGTTTTGCGGATTTTGTCACATCGGCCAAGCTGGCCAGTGTATAAAGGAGACCATTGCAGAAATGTTCTTCTGGAATCATGAGCGCAGGTTCACCACTTTGGGCAAGTCGTTGCGTGGCTTGTGTTTGCACACTCATTTGACCACATACGTGTACTATGCAGGGATAAAGAAGAATGAGCTTGCCTAATTTTAAAGGCCTACCAGAGTTTTAGCAGCTAGTGCAGCAAGCTTTCACTTATGTTTGTGTTGCACGTTGAACTGCTGATTGTGATTGAGACCCATCGGGATGAAATTTTTTAACTGTGATTGGCTATACCTCCTGCAGCTTTTATAATGGAGCCTATCACTACCACAAAAATTCTGTTCAAATCAGGCTCGATCATGATCAGAAATTACCGTGCGACACTGGCATTACGCCTCAGAGCAAAAGGAAAACCTTCTTCGACTTCAACATCTATAATTTTGACTGGATTGCGTATACCGTTTTTTTGTACAGTTTTGCACTTTGGTTGAGGGTAAAGTCAGGTGTGTGAATGCCCCATGCATGAGTTGTTCAATTTCTACATTGGTTATTAGGAATATATTTTCATGCAGGAGTCAGCACTGTGTTACATGATTCATTCTTTCATTCACACTGTAAGATGCAGTTATGGTGACTTGCAGTTGTTATATTTGTTCTATCTGCCAGCCATAGTATGTGAAGTTACTTGCCTACTGCCTTATTAACTTGTGCCTCTTTTTTTTTTTTTTTGTTCAATCCAGCTCTGAAACTGCCACAACTTACGTCCAGAAAATCCGCGAGAGCTGGCAAGCCCTTGCCAAAGACAAGGCTCAAAGAGGTAAATTTGTTTCCCTCATAACATTGCTTTAACTGAGTGATATATGGCAGAATCTCATTCATATGTATCGGGGGAAGAGAATTGGAAAAAAAAAAGAAGTACCGTCTTGTAAAGGGATCCGAGGTCCTGAAACAATCTGGCCATAGATCTCTACCCTAGCAAGTGAGGCATCTTGATGGAAGAAGCACTCGCATACCGACTGATGAACATATCAAGACAAACACATACAATCTAAAATGTACGTTTTGCAATGTGAAACATTGGTTGAGACAGCAAAGTCCGTGGACCTATGCAAGTGAAAATTGCAGTGATTATCCACCTACAGCGTAAGGTATGGAATACGAAATGAACTATGCAGTCACCAACTGTTTATTTGTACTCAGCGAGAACCACAAACTGGGGATCAGTTCTGGTCGTTTGCACGAGATGTCTTTTACAAGCCCAGTACAGTGTTGTCCCTTTCTGATCAACACCTAGCTTGATGTTGGGCACAAGGGTGTCTTTTATAACTTGTGTTTTCTTACTTCAGTGTCTTTTATAAGAGAGCTAAGCTATACTCATGCAATGCCAGGTAGGACATTTTTTTATTAAACTTCTATGGCATTGGTACGACATCATCTACAGTCAAGCCCGCTTATAACGAACCTGAGCCTGACGCGGCATCCGTTCACTGTATCCCGAAGTTCGTAGTAAATGAAACACAGCTTTTAAAAAAGTTGCAAGTGAAACACAAACTTTTTTTGCTCAAAAATGTTCTTAATTGCACGTGTTTCAAAGAGCAGAAGTGATAAGGGCGGTCTCTAGTTTGTTTCAAACAGCAGCGTGCTTGTTTGCCGAGGCCTGTGGCATAAGCTGCATGATGGGCTGGCTCCAAAGTTTTGTCGTTCTCGCGATTCAATTCATCCAAATCGCTCTTGCCACGTACTTCATTCACAATGCCCTACTCCATGCACAGTTCCGTGCTGTCGGCATCATCATCGGCCGTAATGAAACTATCGCAACAGATGTTCCACCCTCTCTCCCATGTTGGAGTCTACGGCGCACTGCCACAAATCACCGCCGATGTGATCCTGTTCGGCAGCTTCAGGCTCGGCATAGGGCCCGACGTCAACGAAGTCGGCCCCGCGAAAACAGTTTCGCGCGCATGTAGCCGTCACCGCCGCCCACGAAATAGTCACCATCTCCACAACTGAATACCGGGATGCCCGAAGCGGCAAGTTGGCTGCCAGGTGGTCAACAACTATGAACAAGCCATCCGCAATGCAGCACCTAACCCGTGGATTACGCTTAAGCCAAGCGTTCAAACTTTCGACGTTTTGTTGAGCGGCTGGAAAAAGCGTGCAAGTCCTCCCGTCTGCCATCCTGACCACACATGCACACCAAGAGCGAGCAAGATGCGCACACGAAACACGCATGCCAGAACGCGCACAACAGCTCTGGGCTCGTTTCTAGTCAGAAAACGAAACTCGAGCCAGCGTGGCTGGCATCGCGGAGCGATGGAGACGGGCGAAGGGGTTGTGATGAAGAGAGGAGAGCAGATTTGCGAGAGAAGAAGGGCAAAGAGTTGCAATAGAGTGAAGAGAGGGGAGGACACGGCGGGAGGGCGACCTTGAAAACGAAAACATGCCGGAAGGAGCTAGGTCGGGTAGCTTGCTTGAAAGGTCCGCGAAACGCACGCGTAGAAAAACTTGAAAGAGTGCCTCCGCGTGCAGAAGTCAAAGCATGGCCGCCTGGATCGACATGCACGGGGCTGTTCTAAGAATCAGCGGTCGCGGTCGAAAAATTGTTTTGTTATGCTGGCAGGTTTGTGTGGCCTCACGGACTTCAATATTTCGCGATTAGTTCCGCGTAAATCAACAGCCGTTTTCACGCTTCCGCACGCAAGCGTAGGGCATGCTGAGCTGAGTGCGAAGTGAGCGAGAACAGGTCCTAAACACAAAAGGAATTGCGAATTGTCAGAGTCGATGGGGTAGCATACGCACCTCCACTAGACGCAGACGATCAGATACAGTCAGTGGCCGACGATGTCGGCAAATGGTCTGGTCAACCCAGGCCGGCGACGGCAACGACAGTACCAGCAATCAAAAACCGAGGAGATGGCCGACCGGTCCTTAAAACATCAGTAGCAGTGTGAAAACACGGGCCTTGTCTGGCGATGCGGGATGCTCAGAGTAGCGGGCGGGAAGGGGGGGGAGAGCCCCGCCGCGGTGGTCTAGTGGCTAAGGTACTCGGCTGCTAACCCGCTGGTCGCGGGTTCGAATCCCGGCTGCGACGGCTGCATTTCCAATGGAGGCGGAAATGTTGTCGGCCCGTGTGCTCAAATTTGGGCACATGTTAAAGAACCTCGGGTGGTCAAAATTTCCAGAGCCTTCCACTGTGGCGTCTCTCATAATCATATGGTGGTTTTGGTACGTTAAACCCCACATATCAATCAATCAAATCATCAAGAGTAGCGTGGGGGGGGACAGAGCATGGAGGCGTGCGTAACAAAAAGCAGTCGGGGAGAGTGGAAACTAGAGGGGAGCGGAGGCAGGGTCGGTGTTTAACAATAAGAATGTATGGGCACATCGCCGATGCCTGATCGGTGGTCGAAATTGGTTTCCCGGAAAGTCAGCAGACCACCAACACCGTTCGCTGTAACGATTGGTGGCACGCGGAGACATTCGTTGTAAGTGCGATTTTGTGCCATTGAACTGATGTATATTGTCAAGGTCACGCGGATAGTGTTCGTTTTAAGCTAAAGTTCGTTTTAAGTGGGGCCAATATATGTGGGCTCGACTGTATAACAGTTTCTGCTTAGGTCCCGTAAAGCTCGAGTATGTCACCACATGTTTCAATACTGTTCTGATCATTAAGTATATAGAGACACGCTGAACATTTGGGCACAAGGACAGGCTTTGACCAGCAAGGCACGCTGCATTGTTTTTTTCTGTGAGCAATGCTGTCAAGTTGAGTCTCTTTATGTCATTTTTCGTGCTAAGCGATGAAGTGCCTTGGGAAATTTTCTGCCCATATCTTTTGTTTATGGGTGTCTTTTTTCTTTCAGAGCTGTCATTCCATGAGAAGCAATTCCACATCCTCGAAAAGTAAGTACAACTTTGCCACATTTAAAATCTGTCATTTTACGTGCGCCCTTAGTGTGCAGGTGATTGCCATTAGCGAGAGGCATAACACTCCAGGTGGTTTACTGCCATTCATCCGGTCTAGTGAGACATTGTAGGAGCGTGGGAATATTCAAGTTTCCTATATTCAATGAATATTGCATTCGTGATAATTGTATTCGATTCGATTCAAAGGGTTGAATATCTGAAGTAACTCGAATATTGAAACTTTTTGAATAATGGCTCGCACATGATATTTAAAGAAGTTTCGATTTTGCACCTTTACGATAAGTGCGTCAGCAGCAGACCATGCAGTGATTATGGCAACTTCGGCATGAGTGCTATGATGCTTGTGCAGAAATACGCAGAAGCAGGATAACGGCTATCGTCGAACATGCCGGTGCGTAGGCACGACAAATCTACCAATGATAAGCATCCTAAAGAATATGAATCATGAACTGCCTGCTAGGCAGTATGTGTGGCTTAGTGGTTTGGTGCTGTTACTGCTCGTGTAAGCGTACTGTAAGTGTGCTGATCATGCCGTTCACTGCCATGTGCCTTTGGGCGGAGGACCACTTCAATGATGTGTGTATGGCTCTTGAAAAATAATGCAACTTGCGCCGCCGTATTAGCCTGAAATAATACTCATAGCTTTGCACGGTTACGGTGCCGAGCGAGCACTGAGATAAAATTTCCCTGTGCAAAGGCAAATGTATGCATGTTACAGCGAGCAGCACTGACAGCGTGAGCTTACTAGGCGACACACTGCACGCAAATAGCCAGGGACGCTCAGCTTCACAATGCAGCAGTTCACATGTATCATACATTTAGCTGTACCGGATTTTGCTAATGTATCGCTGCGAAACCGTGCATGCAGGTGTTGACAAAAGACTGGCAAGCCGTTCGTCAGCTGGGCCGCTTTATCAGCAACATTATCATGTATATGCCCTGTCATACATCATGTATATTCCCAGTTACGATAACGTGAATGAGCTAAAATGCTTTTCCGTGCAGTCCACGGTCAAGAAAAAAAAAGACCTCCACGGTCAAGAAATATTTAGGAGGTGGAACTCCAGTTAGAACAACCGTGCACAAGTGTCCTGATAATTTCTCATAAAAAACAAAAATAACATGCCCTGACGAAGACATTTCAGTTGGCGGCGCCTTGTGGCACAAGTTTGCAACCTTGAAAAAAAGAAAATGCAGCGCTATCGGCCGAGTGCGTCTGAATTCGCTCTGCGTTCTTGCTCGTGACTCCAGCAGAATGCAAGCAATGCATGCGACCGGTTTGCGCGAAAACTGAAATAGCAGCAATTTTCTTTTCTACCGCAAGGCGTCGCCAGCATGATTTGGCCTTCCGGCAATGTGACGTTATCTGGTTGCCTTGAGGAGTGGAGTTGCACCTCCTAAATGTTCCTTCTTTTATGCCATACACTAAAGGCTCTAGTAAGTTTCTATTGTGTTATTCAGGTTATTAAGCAAGCTCAAGTATCCACATATGTAGGTAATCTCTCTGTGAATTGATAAATGACAGCAAAATATGTTTGCAGAAACAAGATCCGACAGACGTGCCAAAAGTTGCTGTCACTGCTCCAAGACCGCTGCCTGCAGGCTTGTCACAAGATGGCGCAGGCATTGGAGACGTGGGCCAAGTGAGTGAGCACATCAGTGCTACTTGAATGGGAAACGACTTGTGTGTTATAATAGCATCAAAGGGAATGAAAAAAATGCTCGTTATGGATGGCATTTTAGTCTGGGTCACTGTCTGAAAAAGCACAGCCTACTTGCACTAATTAAAATTAATAGAGACTTTGAACAGTTTTGAATAACTTGGAGCTTGGGTTGGCCAGGACAGAATTGTCAGAGTTATACCATGCCAAAAGTGCCTCACTGGAATCAGAAAAATTTCACCTGTATATGTGCGATGGTCTGTCATCAAGCTGCCATGACAGGTGTCCTCTCATTCACTTAGTAGATAGAGTGATTGATCGATCATCAAGACATACCTTATTACTTAGACAGCTTGGTCATTAGAGGTATATGTAATGGCAACTGATAGTGCCTTCACCTCAGCATTAAAATATTCGGACTCTATGTAGCGATTTCACAGACAAAGTTGGCTGCCAGTACCTCCTCTGACAAATTTAACAAGACTTTCATATTGGTCTTGAATATCAAACGTCATAAAAATTAAAAAAAGATCCGAATGACTGTGGCTTGGTCACTTGAATAGAAAGCAGCACTTGTGCCCAGATTCTGCTAAGGTGAAGCTACGTCAATGCCACATTGGTTGCGGCACCTCTGCCAACCATGTCAATTAATCAGCTGCTGGGTTTAGAGCCAATGTGATGAAAAATACTTGGAACAGGTTGTTGGTGTAGGATGATAACGTTGTCTGAAGAATAACGGCACAGCCTTCTTCAAGCATTGCCATTGGAGATGTCTTGCCAATTGTTATAAGCTTTGTAAGTTCATATTTTGGCAAATAGTTTTGTAAGGCTTCAAGCTTCTTGGTGCAAACAAATGAAAGAAAAAGAATTGATCAAGGTCTTGTTTTTTTTTTTATTTCTACGATGTCAAGAAACCAACAGACAGAAGCCAAGGAGAGTATAGGGGCCTCATTTGAAGTCTTTTAACTGTAATGTGGAAAGTATGATATGAGTGTGAAGAAATTCAAGTGGACGGAAAGAAAACTTGCCACGGGTAGGCATTGAACCTACAATGCAGCACATGCATCGCTGTGGCTTACAGAACCCCTGGTGGTGACAGGAAGTCTAGGGACATTGCAGTGCTTTGTTTCTGTATCATTGGTTTTGTTTGTTGGCATTGCAACGCATGATGTCGCACCAACAAATCTGTGTGTGATTTCTTTGTAAGTGCAAGTTTTCAGATCATTACAAAAAAGGTGGTGTCAAAAAATTTTGCAAATGGATCACAAAATGAATTACTTGCGACCATGCCAAAACTATAATTTTTTTAATAACTTTAAAAAAATACACAGCGGTGTGGTGTGTATAATGGTGGTACACAGCAGTACCACCATTAGCAGTCTGTTACAAAATTAATATTGTGTTATTCTTCAATTCGAGTTCTATTTATATAATCCAGTTAGAGAATGAAATACCTGATGCTGGTTTTACACCTTGGTAAGAGTGAAATATGTGGTAGCCAGATTTGGCAAGTTGGGTGAAGGTAGAGGAAGAATGAAAATCTTGCCCAGTGTCCTTCAGCAGAATACACTGTCTCATATGTGTTCTGCACCTTAGACACCCTGAATTGGAACATTTTCACCTAGGATACTCTCTCAGATGGCCTTCTAAAGCCTTTGATTTTTTAAACTGCACTTGGCTCAATTGTGATGCACCACATCATCATTATTAAGAAGACAGTAAGCGTGAGCGTTTGGGTGTGGACATGCCTTGACTTGTTTCATCAAGAAGACATGAGGCCTTTTCGTGCCAGTAGTGGTTGCTTCTTCTTGGGATGGTGTCCATACACACCAAATTTTGATTAATCACCGTGTTTTGCATCTCATTCTAACCTGTATTTATGCAAAACTAAAGGTAAGAATTCTACAAGAATATTATATTGGGGTGGCAGCATATAATAAACACAACTAAATCTCTAGAAAAGATAAGCAGTCTCTGAGGTCGTATTATATCCTATCATAACTGCACTGTTGACATTGAGTTCACCTGTGGCAAGGCCTTGTTAAAAGCCATGATAGTTCAATGGCTGTATGCTTTGCAGGGATGCACTGGAAATATGGGCACAAAGCCGGCGCCTGGACACTGAGCTGGACAGTTGCCTGGACATGCTGACATCGTATAGTGCTGCCATCAGCAAGGTACTGTGTGTCACTGCTTTTGTTGCTGTGTAGTTAATTTAGTAGGACTCTTGTGGCACTTCCTAATCAGAGCGAACAAAATGTACGAGTCACTGCTTGACAATGCTCTTGAAAGTACTGTACGTAGTAAGAGCCACAATCTCGTTCATTTAGCTTTACAAGCCTGTGTGAAATGTCCATAGACGATAAAATTCCCACTTTATCGAAGGAAGTCAAAAGGACATTTTTCTTAGGTGCAGGGGCGTAAATTCGATCGATAATGAAGCTGACAAAATCATTGGGAGCAGTATCTGTACTTTTCAATTGAAGGGTTGTTTTTATGGCATAAATGAAGGTGGATGGAAAACTTTCCGGCAGGGACAAATAAACCTGCAACATACACATTGTGCATCAAGGTGCCCAGCTTGGGCGGCACAATGCACTCATTTATTTATTTATTTATTTATTAGAATATCCTCAGGGCCCGTAGGGCATTACAGAGGGGGTGGGTACAACATTTTATAACACACAAGAAAAAAAGACAAAGAAAAGAAACAAGTGTCAGATGCGCAAATCACGAAGGCAACATAAATCGACTAAAAATGTATAAGTTGCTTATAAATTTCCTAGTTGCTATTTTGAGTGCCAGAAAACAGCACAGAAATGGCAGTCGTCATCTTCCTCTGACTGACAAGCAGGTAGTAATATAAAGCTCTTATATTTGTCACCCTGGTGTGGCATCCATAGGAGATAGATTAATGCTGGCATCTTATCCTGTACACTATCACTTTTTCTTGCCCTAAGTTGGTGCCTCAAATCTTTCGTTGAGCTACGCTCCATCTCGCTCTACTTCATACGTGTAATTCTGCTTGGAGCACCCTGACCTCTCGCATATCAATAATATAGCATAATCCCCAAAACAGCGCAGTATAAGAAAGTCTCTTACTTAGTCACATGGCTACAACTGTGTATTTACTTGCATGCTGTCATCACTCATTGTCACTAGCTGGTATTGGCTAAATTAATGCTAACATAAGGAAGTACTGGCTAACAGCTGTCTGCTATATTCAATGAAAATATTGTGTACATTGTATCTTAATTCGATGACCTTGCTATTTAAAACCGCACTTTCATTTGAGCAGTCTTCTTTTTTTACCATGGGTATTGGTTTGTCGCAGAGCTATCCAGGAGTTGATCTGTCATTGCAATTCGATTGCAGAGCCAATTGAGTGCAACAAAAGACGGGACAAAGAAGCTACAGGTTTCTTTGCATACATTCTCTTGGTGCAGTGAAGTTTTGCAAATGAATGCGTGCCGGCTATTCTAATCAATTTAGTATCGATCTTGCCAATGGATTTGATCCTGACTATCAAAATACAGTAAAAACTATTTTCATCCTTGATTGCTTTCATAGCATTGATAACGTAGTGTGCCCCACACCAAATGAGAACAGAACTGGCACCTGTTGCAACTGCTGCATACAAATCCCTTTCCCATGAACTTGACTGAAAAATACGGCAAGTGCACAGTTTCAAAACCATGCAGCTAGTATGGTGTTATGAAGGACAGTAAACGCAAGAAAAATTAAAAAAATGGAGTGTTAGAATTTTTGTCGTCCCATGTGCAGTACCCTCTGAGGACTACAGCGATTCGGACAGATGTTTACAGAGCCGTTAACTTTGTATTTACATTTCCCCAGGCATGACGCACAGTTAGTGGTGGCATGCCCAGTACAGCCAAAATAAGTTTCATACCATCGAACGTCGACCACACTTTCCGGCGAAATGCGAGTCAGAACTATCCAGTGTAATGAGCTTACAAGTTTTTCCTCCACATGAGTTGCACTGAGCCTGCAGCAATTTGGTGGAAAGCCTGCCAGCGTATTGTTTGAACAGCTCAATCTCCACAATATACAATTTTATTACTGCTGTATGTTTACAAAAGGCCATTGCCACTCTTTAGTAGACACAGCTGAACCACGAGTCTTCCAGAACAAAAAAGAAGGGGGGGGGGGGGGGGGGGGGGTTGTCTCTGTATTTGTACCCCGTTGCGTGCGCCTGCGCCCAAGGTTGATGCGCCTGTGTCGTGGATCACTTGTCCCGTCGACATTACTCTCTCGACACACGAGCCAAGCCAAGTCACCGAAAACATCACTTCGCGTCATTTCTGAGATGATGTCTAGAAAAAAAAAAAAAACTACGTCATTCCGAAATCTTAGCGACCTGGAAACTGTGTGCACGGTTTCATGAGCAGATACAAAAGTTGCTTAAGACGCGCTGACGAGCACGGGTCATTACGTCATGCGAAGGCAGTGTCACTTTATTACGCACTACTAACGCAGCCCTATAGTACATTTTCATGGAGTAATATCTTTTACTATAAAGAAGCACACAATATTTCAATACTAACACGAAAATTGTTGACCGCGTACACTAGTTTACGGTCACGTGACAGGGCAGCTTGGATAATTGAAGTTTCTGTCACCAGGCGGCGCCACAGGCTATTTTTGTGATTTTTAATGAAATAAAAATATTATAATTCCACTTCTCTTGAAAAAAAAAGGGGTTGGTTTAAGTCTCTATAAGGGACAATCTTTCCACTCATGCAGTCATCTCACTTCATGTTCTGGGCAGTTGTCGGCCCTTTAAATATGTTCAAGGCTATATTTCTCCTTAATATTTAGTAGATGTTGTGCATGTCTTCACATAAATATATCTCATTCATTATCTCGCCTTCAAAACTTTGTTTTGGTGTTCTTTTAAGTTTGATCTTCCGTGACTTAGTGCTGTAGTTGGAACAGTGCGACTTCCGATGGAGGCGGAAATGTTATAGGCCCGTGTGCTCAGATTTGGGTGCACGTTAAAGAACCCCAGGTGGTCTAAATTTCCGGAGCCCTCCACTACGGCGTCTCTCATAATCATATAGTGGTTTTGGGACGTTAAACCCCACAAATCAATCAATCAATCATGGAATAGTGCGACGCCGGAAACAACGGACATTAGCATTGCGGTGTGTTATTTCTTGCCTTGTGTTCTTTAGATTTTTGTCTTACCCCTTTTAAGAAGTTGAAATGTAAAGACCTTTTATGATTCTTCTTGCATTGATCTCAGCATGCAGTGTATATAGGCATTTTGTACAAATGTTATGTTGAAAATGTACAGAATATTAGTGTTGAGGTATTTATTTTTTTACGAATATTCTGTAAGTCATAATTAATATGCTGCAAATGTTACGAGTGAAAGAAGCATGTATCTGTGTTTCCCATTCAAGTGTTCTCTGTGTTTGCAGAGTTTGTCTTACTAATGCTCTTTAAATATTTATTTAATCTTGTGTTACTCAATCCTTTACCCTCCCTATAATGACCCTCAACTGAGGGTTAGCAGTATGTCTAATATTTAAAAAAAATAATGAAGTTATTAACCATGTTAGATACAGCTGTATTATAAAAATATTCTGTGTCTACGCCAACAATCTAAAATGAGTCAACGCTGTTGCTTGTGTCGTGAGTACACATTGCGGCGTGTTCATCTCGTTTCAGGCTGGCGAAGTGTTCGAGTCGTCTGCGAATAGCCTCATCTCGGATCTCAAGGCCCAGCAGCAGCATTCACCGACCACACCGCTGTCTTCCACCATCACTGTAGCATCGAACACTACCATGTCAGCTGGCGACATGCCATCTACAAATGGAGCCGGTCCCAGGAAACAGCGCCTTCCTCGACAAATCACTCGCGGGTAATGTTTCCACTTTAAAAATTTGCTGTAGGTATTTTATTTAAATATTTTATTTGTTTATTCATATTTTAAAAAAATTATAACTAACTACTTCTGTGTTTTAGGTGGCCAGTCATTATCTTCTTTGAAAGGGTGCAGCAGACGGCGTTTACAAAAATATTGCTTGCCTTAAATATTTTAATATATTCTACCTTTACTGTTTAATAAATGGAATCTTGAGGGACCAGGAAAATATGTTTCCTTTTAACAAGAGTTCCTTTTACTGACAGGCAAACAAGGGTGCAGGATTGAAGGGCTAAAACCAATCACGTCAAAAGCAGTTCTGTTTAAACAGCAATTCCGTTTAAAAGAGAGTACTGTATTAGAAGTGTGCATTCTGGTAAGGACCACAAGGAGAAATCACAGCTGGTGCATTATTTAACAGTTTTCTATGAGAGCTTACTATAGTTAAGGCTTTTGTACATTTTGACCTTTATGTCTACTGGAAAAGAAGAAGTGGGATGCGTTTGATGGGTTAAGGAAAGCCTTCCCGCCAATTTATGACATGTTTTATAGGTCATGTCTTATATACAGTATTATTCGCGTGTTATATACAGTAAAAACTTGTTGCTTTGGATTTTACAGAGCCTGAAGAAATGTCTGGATCAATTGAATGTTAATTACAGGAAGTATTTAGAAAACAATACTTATGTATCACGTCTTTTGATTTTCCTCATTAATACATATATCCTTTTCGCATAAGAGCTGCATAAAAGCCGCAATTTTGGTCATCTTGAGACTTAATTGGCAATGCGACCACAGCGAGACCACCATTGTTTTGCACTTCATGGAATTTTGCCTACTAGTTATTACCGTATATAATCGAATCAAGGCCGCCCTTGAATCTAGGTCGACCCCCGATATTGGCAAGGCCAGAAAAAAAAAATTTCCTCAAATGTAGGTCAAATGAAAAAAAAAGAGAGAGAACACCAAAATCGGCGACAACTTCTTCCACTGCATGCTGTTGGCCGGTTTTCGGTCCAGTGAATGCCATGTGGGTTGCTGCACAACCAAAGTGTTCCGCTCGTTGTTTGCGCCATCGGTGCACATTCTTTTCGTGCATTCCGAACTCTTGCTGCGCCCATAGGTTCGATGTCTTTTCTGCATGTAACACGATCTTCCACTTGAATGCCGCACTGTAGTGGCACCGCTTGGTTGGTGCCATCCAATCTGAAGCACAATTGACACAGGCATTTCACAAGCAAGAGGCACAACTACACTGCACGATCGTTTTCAGAAGAATGACCATTGACCAACTCCGCCCCGTCCGCCACGCTATAACCGATAGGTAGCCAAGGTGGCAACAACTGGGTCGAATTTTACTTCTTTTTTTCTTTTTTGGGAAACCGGGCTTGACTTGGAATTCATTTTATTTTAAACTTCAGTAAGCAAATTAGGTATTTCTATTTTATTTTAACACAGAGCAGGTGTTCTGAGCACCACAGAAAAAAAGTTTAGTTTTTGTTCACTAATTATTACAGCTTAGCACCCTCTGCTGCGTTGCAGATCTGACCGCCGCCGTGGTCAGTTGCTTCGCAGCTGCTGGGGACTGAGTGCCGTGAGTAATTTGACGTATGCATGTGGGAGGTAGTGGCCAGATACTGCACCAGGTTGTACAACAACCTCGGAAAAGAGCAGCGCTTCGAGATAGGTAATAGTACACTTGAAGCTGTAAAAGACTATGTCTACTTAGGGCAGGTAATAACCGTAGAGCCGAACCACGAGATTGAAGTAACTAGAAGAATAAGAATGGGGTGGAGCACATTTGGCAAGCACTCTCAAATGATGACTGGTAGATTGCCACTATCCCTCAAGAGGAAGGTATATAACAGCTGTATCTTGCCGGTACTTAGCTACGGAGCAGAAACCTGGAGACTTACAAAGAGGGTTCAGCTTAAATTAAGGACGACGCAGCGAGCAATGGAAAGAAAAATGGTAGGTGTAACTTTAAGAGACAAGAAGAGAGCAGAGTGGATTAGGGGACAAACGGGGGTTAAGGATATCATAGTTGAAATAAAGAAGAGGAAATGGACATGGGCCGGGCATGTAGCGTGTAGAGAGGATAACCGCTGGTCATTAAGGGTAACTAACTGGATTCCCAGAGAAGGGAAGCGGGTTAGGGGGAGACAGAAGGTTAGGTGGGCAGATGAGATTAAGAAGTTTTTTAAGGGGAGATGCGGGTCGAAAAACGAGAATTTTCTAAAAAATTATCAATTTTTTGTTTTCACCTGTTTTGTTAAGATTAGTACCTCTACTATTCTGAAAAAAAAAAATCTATGTCGAGAATCAACTGGAAATGCTTTAAAATTGCATCTGAAGAGCACAAGGTGGCTGTCAAAAGGCCGAAAGTGTGTCATCTTCGAGCACCTTGCCGCTGATAATGCGCCGCTGCTCGCCATTGTCGACCGCATGAGGCGAAGAACCGAGCCTCACTCTTCAAATAGCGACGGTTTCCCGCGCTGCTGCAACACAAGAAATAATAAAGAGAAGCGCGCTTTTGCCGCCTTTTTCGAGCGCCGCGACTGGCTTTTAAATCACGTGGTACGGATCGGGAGCCGCCATTGGCCGCTGTGCGCCTGTGTGTGCTGTGAAGCCTACTTGCAGGATCCGTGTCTCGTCGAGCAGCACAGCTCAACAACGCTTTTCTCGAGTGCTTATTCGTTATGGATGAAGAAAGCCGTAGGAAGCGCGGTCACCGGCCTGTGAAGTTTCACGCGGCGCACAAATTTCGAGGACGCCGGCGCAAATCAAAGCCGAACACTCAAACCATGAAAAGATCGTCTGTTGCCGCAAAACGTAATGGCAATGATGCCGATGCGCCCGACGAGTTTGCCGCGGCATTCGAACATGTGAGTGCCTCCCAGAAAAAGATCGACTCTTGTAAGACGAAGAAAAATCACAGGACGACGAGTCTTCGTTGATTGCTGATGTGACAGCACTGAACATGCTTGCGCGGTGCAATGTGTCCGACGTGTCGCCATTTGGGATTACGTGTCCGGGAACCGGCCGACAAGCGGAAAGGACTTGCGTGGTTCGTCGAACTCCACTGCCCAAACAGTGAGTGCCCTGAGACTATTCTTTCGGCGACATATACTTCGCGGCGAGTAGCTTCAGGCGGGGAGGCCAGCGTGAGCGTGGCGGGTGACGGACTGACCGCGAGGAGAACATACGACAGCGGGAGCCCGTGCGATAGCTACGCTGTCAACGTGAAAGCTGTTGTGGCGGCGCGCTCTGTAGGCATGGGCTATGAGCAGCTAGTCCGATTTTAATGGCAGTGGCCACTACAAGGAGGATTTTTCTTTCTTGTGTACAAATTTCGTCGCATTCAATGACATCTTTGATAAATAAACATGCAATTTTGACTTTAAAACTTCTTTTTCTCAAAACACAAATTTTGCCATTTTTGTCAATGTGCCCCTCCTTTTTCGGGTACTTCTGGTGCTCAGATCTGCATGAAATTTTTCCCAAATTTTTTCCAAAGTACGAGAAATGCAATTATCTTGTTTAAGTTTCAATATTCTTTTATATAATAAAAAAAAAGTTATGTAAACTTTTACTAGGGTAGGAGAAATATGAACTTCCCACGTTAAAATTTTTCACGTCTAGTACATATTTTGTATGGACTTCCAAATTAGTTGTTTGCATTCCACACTTCATTTGAAACATTATGAACTATCAATTGTAAAAAATTAATGAAGTTTAGGTATGAAAAGAGGGGGGGCAAAGGGCTTAAGTTTTTCACTTTTTCATGTTGCAAAACTAAAAGTATGCAACTTGTAAGACAACTCATTATATATTCGAAATCAGCATAAAAAGTTCTATAAGCACCTCAAGTTTCATTGCTCTCGAATGAATATTAAAAAAAAAGTATCTTCGACCCGCATCTCCCCTTAAGAAGAAGTATTAAGAAGCACAGGACCAGGTTAACTGGCGGAACATGGGAGAGGCCTTTGTCCTGCAGTGGACGTAGCCAGGCTGATGATGATGCTAGTTTGCATTAGTCGCCGTCCGATCTAAAGGGTACAGCCATGTCAATCCATCCATCCATCGGCGGTAGTCACGTGACACGATCCACGTCTTCTGGTTTTTCTATGGCTTTTCCAACGTGAAATCTCGCCGGCTCGACGATCCTCGCTGCGTGAACACGAGACTGTGTGGTTTTGGGACAATGGACCGTTTGGAAGCCAAAGTGACCACTATTGTCCCGCTGAACAGGCCTGAGCGACCTCGTCATCGTGCAGCTACCGTAGAATGTCGTGAAAATGAGCCTCCGGCATGCCAAAGCGGTACCTTGAGATCAGTGCATCAGAGGCCGTAATGCCGCTAGCGCGGCTGAGCCTTCAGGCAGGTGGCACCCAAATCGTGGTACTCGAATCTAAGCCAACCCCTCCACTTTCGCACATCATTTTTTTTAAAAAAACATCAGCTTAGATTCGAGTATATACGGTAGTCTGTACACTTGGTATTGGTGTCTTGGATGGACTGGCCTATTTGGCTAATTTGGTTCTGACTGATATCACCTACAGTAGGGATGATGGCAATATTGGTGGAGGGCATCGCACCAAGCAGGCTTCTTTGCTTGAATGGAGATGATGAAGTACATACATTGCGTTCTTTCTTCAAGATGAATTTTCACTGAACACAGATGCCCCACTACCAAATCTTGTGCTTCGGCATGATAATGATTAAGTTGTCCGGACACCAAAAGGCCTGCTGCATTGTAACATGCAGCATGCAAATCCACACCATGCCGCCAACCATGTCTTTCGTCACAGCAAGCTCAAGGGCAATGTATAACTGCTTTCAAGTCTTAGTGTTAGGCTCCGTGCCTCTTTCAGTTTTGTTGTGCCTGGCATCATATGAAGTATCCTTCTTAGCTTTTATTTTTCTCTGCAGGCTCCAGAACCTCGAAGTAAGCACTGCCGAGTTGCTCCAGCTCATGGAGGACAACTACGCTGTTACAATGAAGTATGGATCCGTTTTATATGCATGTTGTGTTTTAGAAATTGTGTTTAACAAGCGTGCGCATGCCTTAATACAAAGTCTTTAATATTGATCAGCTTGAGCTTCAGCATCTGGATGTCAATTAATTGTCACAAATTTCAGTCTCTTTATATGTATTTTAGTCATATTGGTTCAGCAGGATTTCCTGAAGCTTTGCCATGTCAAGTCTCCTGTTAGCCTTCAAACTTTCTTTTTGCACCTGTCCCCATCAATAGCCTGTTTTGAACGGTCTCAAATTGATCTTAGTTTGAAGTGTGCCTTGGCAAGTAGCATTATCCAGCAGGCAAAATCAGCTCTACTCTTGTCTTCTCGTGTGTTTGTTTTTTTCCTCGTTTAGCCCCCTAAACCTTTTTTCTAGCGGAGATTAGCCCAGCTCTTCACCCCACGGTTTGTACCGCACCCACCGGAGATTAGCTGGACTCATTCACACTGAACCAAGCATTCAATTCAACGGCGCCACAATTAGGCTACTCTGATTCATTTTACGTAGTCCTTTTCAAGTTGAACATATGGTGCCATAGAAAATGTAAGAACATGCTTAAAGCATGCATTTCAGTCAAGAAATTACAGGACTGTGTAATTGATATTTAAAAATGGTGACCTCTTCTGTGCACGAGCGCACCGTGCTTAGCGGCAATGAACCTGTTCCACGAAAAGTGAAGAAACAAATTTTTGTCTACCAGCATTTTGTAGAATGAAGGGTTTCAGTTCTTCTGCGAGTGTGACAGTGACCACACAGAGAGTCATATTTTTTTTCTAAATCATTAGCATAGGATTACAGTGTCTCAGTATAATGGCATGCAGATGTAAACACACCCTCATAAGCACATCTCAAGGTTTATTTACGAGCTGCTTTCCCTGCAGATTATTTTTGAAATTTTGAAGGGCAATTTTGAACACTGAATAGTTTTGCAGTGTGGTGAAGCCAACCTTCTACATGCGTGCGCACGCACGCACACACACACACTACATATATATATATATATATATATATATATATATATATTGTAGCTATGCTGAGGCAGACAGGTTAAAAAAAAACAAGCGTCCTTACTAGGGCGAACTTGTGCCCACGATTCTAAAGACTATGGTCGTCAAGTCTGAGTAGCCGAGTGGCACAGATCCAACTATCTTCCTCTTCCCCGTAGCCGGAGGGCACGAACGCGTGGCGCATGCCAGCCAGGTCTTGCTGTTGCTGGTGCCACGATGATTGTGGCGGGCTACTTGAATGCGGCCAACCTGTCGCAGCAATATATATATACTGCTTGTTTCATTTGAGTAAAGTACATATAGACTTCTTACTTGTTTCAAGACACTTCGGATTAAGCAGGTAATTGAAAACAAAATTGCTAAGTTTGAAACATTTTTCGCCTAGAAACTCGATAGGGAAAGGGTTGAAGTGGGGCCAAAGTTTGCCAACAAAAGTACCCGGAAAGGTGTTAATCCCATGAGCTGCGGCTTTGTGTAGAGGACCTGTTACCACAGTATTTAATGCAGCCACACGTGCAATTGGTGTTGAGCGCATTACTCGCGTACAAGGCCATCTCAGTTTGCTAGATTTCAGTAGTACAGGTAGCAAAAGTTAGTCACACCAACCCGGAACTAAGGAGGTGTCCGCCAATGAGTTGCGTGTTGCTGTCAGTATTATTTCATTACTGCCTTGTGCTTATCTCGGGATATTCAGTTTGTTCTAAGCACGGAAATAATTAAAGGTTGTGTTTTGGCCTTATTTGCCGATTAGCACGTCTCGCATATGTTTTCATCCCCCAGATTCGCACTGTGAAGTATCGTGCTGCACAATTAGCGAGGGCCATCGATTTCTTCCTTTTAGAACACTGAAGGCTACAATTTGCTGATATACTGCATGGATCTCTAGTTTGAAATGTATATTCAGAAAATTTTTTTAGTCTGCATACTTAAGAGGCTTTACATTTTGTAAATTTGAGTCAGTATTGTCACCGAATTTTTTTGTAAATAGTTTTTTTAATGTTTAGTATATATGTTTACTAGTGCTTACATTGGTAAAAAGGTCATTTCTGCGCCTACAAGTTGGTACTGTGCATTTAATTGTGATGTGTGTTGACAATGGCAAAAATATTTAGCGGGGAATCTAAAATGCACTAGTTTTTTTTTTTACGGGTGGAGGGGGGGTTTACAGCATGCTATCATCATTCTAGTAAACACAGTTATTGAGGACCACCGCAAGAGGCTTTTATGCCATTGTATACATAGATATGTACTGATGTTGATGAATGACATCAAGCTCATTCAAATAAAGCAGAATTCCACGGAAGGAAGGGAGCTTGAAAATATGAAACTTATAGATGTAGGGTGTTGCTAGAGAGGACGTTTAGACAAGTCCGCTTGTCAAAACATTGACTCCAGGAGATTCTATTTTCAAGAATTTTCCATCTTGTTGTGTAATTGTTATATTGATTTCACTGCGTTAGTCATTTCAATGTTCAATTCATAGTGCTTCTTAATGTGCTGGGCAATGTTTGTCCGCACTCTCACATTTTTGCAGGCTCTTTGAGCTGTCGATCCCGCCTCAAGCACCAGCTGGCGAGGACTCGTGACCTGACGAGTTGCCGAACGCAGTAACGATCTGTGCTGGCCCATGGCCTTCACTAGTATTACTTAGCATGTCAATGTGACGACTGTTACCTGTTTACAACATTGTTAATGACTTCAAGTGCTTTGTGTTGCGCTTGAAAAGCAAATATGTATATGTACAGACCTGTGCATCGTTCTGCTGTGCATGACTCTATGTGGGATGATGCAACGATTTTACAAATAAAGTAATCATGTGGGCCCTACTCCACCACAACAAAAATAAGGTGATTGTTTTATTTTTTACCGTCTCTCCTCCGTTAGAAGGCATGAAAAATGAATAGATAATGTAATGCATTTAAATAACCCTTAAGGCTAATTGTTAGCAGTTGGAAATGCAGAATTATTTCAATGAGTTGTGTAATTTGCGATTTGTCCCTTGAGTACTTGGAAGCTCAGGGAATCATCATTTTATTGGGGAAAAAAGAAAAGCAGTAGCAGTCCCTGAAAGTGGCTGTGCAGTTAGTTATAATTGTTATTGAGCTCTGTTTTCTCCACAGTACATGAAGAATTGGAATCGCACGAAAATCCAGTTTGACAAGTGTTTTTTCAGCATACTCTTGAGGCGCTAATTGTTAGCAGTTGGAAATGCAGAATTATTTCAATGAGTTGTGTAATTTGCAATTTGTCCCTTGAGTACTTGGAAGCTCAGGGAATCATCATTTTATTGGGGAAAAAAGAAAAGCAGTAGCAGTCCCTGAAAGTGGCTGTGCAGTTAGTTATAATTGTTATTGAGCTCTGTTTTCTCCACAGTACATGAAGAATTGGAATCGCACGAAAATCCAGTTTGACAAGTGTTTTTTCAGCATACTCTTGAGGCTTATTATGAATATTTCATTCTGTTGCCGCAAAGTTGAAAGTAGTGCTTGTGCTGTATTGGTCTTCTAACTTCCTTATTTTTTGCCATTGTTTTTAAGTTTGCATCAGTGCATTGTTGCTTTGTCATTCTGTTGAGCATTCCTACAAGAAAACAATACTTGGGATGTTTATGGTTGGTTGATTCTCATTAAACTTGGGATAAATTTTATAACTCTTGTAGTGAGGATTGTCCATAGTGCAATCCTTGAACTGACATTTGCAAGCATTGATTTTCATAGAGCTTGTTTTGTTTCAACCTGTAAATAATTCAATGAGAATGGTTACAATTCAAATGCACTCATGCTCATATGTGACAGAGGTGTATTGAAATATGAGCTATATTTTGTGATGACTTTTTATTCAAATTTGAGAGAACTGTGTTCTTGTTTTCTCAGTTTGTTCTTGTTTCAGAAATGTCATTTGCTTTGCACTGCCACCTAAAGATGGCATTTATGCAATCAATTGTTATAGTAATCAAAATAAATAGTTCATTTTCTCTCTCTTTTCATTTTTCTTTGATGTTTATCCAGAAATGAAAATCGAAGATGGTTTCTCTTTGTGGGAAATATTTGTGCCTCTTCATTGAGCACCTTAGCACCTACAAAATAACCAAGCAGTTTCAGAGGGATTTGCATGTGGTGGTGATCACTGCCCAGGAAGAAAAACAGAAACATCAACATAAAAAATTTTCACTGCGGCATGAATGGGGGAATGATAATGATAAGCAATGCTTTAAAAACTAAAGCAGAATTTCTGTGAAAGGATTTCTTGAGCTTCTGGCGTTCTACCTTTAGTCCTACCTTCATAGGACGGGAAGAGGGCATCTATACAGAAATCAGGGGTGTGCATTGGGTCGAACGTGGCTCCTGTTCTCAGCAATATCTTCCTAGCCAAAGTTGACAGGGCTATTGAACCTAACTTGAACGGGTTCGCGAAAGCAGTTTACAATCACGTAGACGACTAATTTTCGTAGATAGGAGCAACTTCATCGAACAACGTGATTAGTATTCTGAAAATCTTCAGGGAGAATGCTTGTGGTTTAGATTTTACTATTGAAACACTGTCGCAAAGTGCATTGCAATTCTCAGATCTGAGCTTTCCTTCCTTGACAAGCAAGTAGACTGGCTAATACCACCCTCGTAGTTCCAAGCCCTTGCTTTCTTTCGCTTCTGCTCATTTGAAAATCATAAAAATGGTACTGCCTTTTCTACCTTGAGAAATGCTCACAAGCATACAATCACATATCCTCAGGCTAAATTAGCTAATTATCTGGAAAGTGTTCTTTTTCTAGCTTACCATAAGCTTTTGTGAAATTTGAAAAGCGCCTTGAAAGGTAACACTACATCAGCGAAAGAAAAGAAAAAAGAATAAGTCCGTCATTTTATCTTACGTTCACCAACTGTCACATAGGCTTGACAAGGGGCCTCACGTCATGGTATAGAAGTGGTCTTCGCTGCCAAGAATAAGGTCAACAGTGTTTGCGGGGCGGTGCGAAAGCTCGCCGAAAGTGGCCCGTTATTGCATAATGCATGCTACATTAAGCACAATAATATGTTTGTACAGTGTCGTTGGAGGCAGGATACCCTTTGCGTGTGGGAGCAGTTTATATTGGTCAGACATGGGCGTTGTGTAAACTCGAGACTGAGGGAGCACCAAAATTCTCTCCGGGGTATTGTGTCCTTGAAACACTTGGCCATGCACTGCCAGGACTGCGGATGCACAGCAGATTTTTCAAGAAGGGGGGGGGGGGGTCTTTTCTGCCACCTGCGACCAGCTGAGAAGGAAAATATTCAATGCCCACAGAATTCAAAAGGCAGGGCAAAACTCTGTCTGAACCGTAAATCACTCTCCATGATAATGAAATATCATTTTTAGATTATTACCGCTGACGTCATTAAGATATGATGTCTCGTGTCTACACGGAAGTGTTTTCAGTTTTCCTGCTTTGAAAAAGCATGTGCGGAAAAAACATGTATATGTTTGGTGTTTCTTCATTAAATTTTTCAGTTGAAACTCTGCGCTCGCCTTTGTGTCCTTCTACATTCTTTGTTTTTTGCGCTGTTTACCTCACCTCGACCAGCTATGAATGTGCTTTTCCCTATCGCAAGTGTTATTGGCAAGTGTTTATAGGATTTTTTCGGATTTATCCGACAACGCAGAGCCCTATATATAGTACTGCCTGCTTTGGCAAGCAAAACTCTACACGAAGTAATTTTGGCAATATTAGCTGAACATGTCACAGAAGAAATGAAGGTGCCTACGAGACCAACACAAGAAGCGACACGGTCTTGGAGAAGGGGTTTGTCCATGGCGCTTCTCGTGTTCATCGCCTGATTTCTTCCGTCAAACATACATCAACTAACCCAATAAAACATTCTACATGTGACTTTTTGCAAATAAAGTACTGGCTAAGGATACCCTGCAGTAGCTTTGTCTGCTGAGCAGGAAGCAAGTTCTGAGGTAGCAATTACATGTTCACACAATACCTTTGTTGTTTGTTTCAGCTTGGGGAAGTGCTACACTTTATACCCAAGTTTTCCTTTGGCTCCAAGAAATCTGAAGCTTCAAAGCTTGCAGTAAAACTTCAGAGAGTTGTTTAGGCTAATGGTTCCTCGCACGTGATCCCCATGTTGTACTTTTGTGAGAAGGAAGAATTCAGAATGACAGGCTACAACTAGTAAGTAGGAGTTCTAGCCACTGAAATTTGGTTGCAGTGAGACGTAAAACAAGGGTAGGAAGTGTAGGGGTCAATAGTATAGTGTAGGTGCTAAGAATAATATATATATATATATATATATCTGAAAATCGAAAACGGATAGTCTGCTTACTTTAGGCCTATGCAACGCTTATGACGTAAACCACGAAGAAGCTTTTTTGAAGAAAATTTCAAATTTCTTAGCACCAGGGGCTTGCACTACATAAAAGTCTGCATAGTTATACCTAATGCGATATCCAGCTCTGATTGTGATAACTACTAGGCACTGTACACTGACCAGAGAGTGTTGCCTATCGTTGTCGTAACCAGGAGCATTAAGCGAAAAGTCGGAGAGGCGGAGATAACTTATTGGATGAAAGCGATGGAAAAGAAGCCGGCTCTCAGTAACTACCGAAACAGCTAGAACGAAATAAGGCGGGAGAGGTTTTATGATAATTCGAGGGGAAGAGTTTTACTGTTCGAAGCGAGGTTGGGTTGCGTTGAACGCGTATTCATGAAGTGAGATTCATCGAAGAAGAAGACAAATGTACATGCTGTGGGGAAGCCAAGGAAACAATGGAACATGTTCTGATTGAATGTGGTGATTGAGGTATACGTGTGGGTACAAGCCTACGTTAGGCTTTGGGTTTTAGGGACAGACATGGCAAGCTGAACACGTCCGTGATAGAAGCAAGTGAAAGGACTGCTAGAGTATTGGGAGCAGAATATTAGATGACAGACAGAAATGAAAGGAAAATGAGGTCATTCTGCCTTAAAGAGGCAGACAGATGGAACATAAATTTATATTTTTTTGTTATAGTAAGATCGATTTAATCGAAGTAGATAAAGCATTAGGCCAACAGAAAACTAAGTTGTCATTTTTTGTTTGTCGCGAGCCTGGTTAGTGGCACACATGTCACGGCCTCGTTATGAAGGGGACGCTCATAGCACCCATCCATCCATCGTTGCTCGTGCAAGTCAGCCTTAATTAGGTTGGCTGACATTGACTGTTAGGGACACGCAGAAAACAGACGCGCCCACGCGTCCCCCACACCAGGCCTCAGCCAGCCAGGAGGGAGGGAGACGCCGGCCTCGCGTGCTAGTTTGACCCACCTATCCGCTAGGCTTCGCGTTCTGGCGCTGCATCGCCCTAGAAAACTCTAAATGTTCTGTGACTCGATTTCACGGCGCCTGTTATGCGGCAGCCTGCAAGACAGCACTTCCACCCAAGTTCTTCCTTGTATGAAACCTGAAAGTTTCTGTATGTTGCGGCTACATTTAAGAGAGTCGGTAAGGCTTAAAGGTGCCTCTTGCGTGGTCCCCACGTCGTATTCTGTATCAAATTTAACTCGGTGGACTTGAAGCTTTGAAGACAAGCCCTCCAGCGTACTCTACATAATGAATTGGCTCCCTTCTGAAGCATAGATAGAGTTTTGAAGCGTGCCCGCTTGCCCAAAGGAGCCAATCATAATGTTTAAGAAGCTTGATGCGCCTATTCAGACTGCGATCAAAAGTTGCTTTGTGTCATATTAACTATATGCTTTGTGCTGTGATGTTCCGTGTTACGCCGAAGAATTCCTATTCGACGAGTCATGAAAATTCCCCATTTCGAGCATTTTCCCCGGCATACGTTGACGAAAATTCCCCATTTCGAGCATTTTCCCCTGCAGTACGTTGACAAAATTCCCCATCACACTTCCCTGCCTAGTAAACGCACCCGTGTTTGCAGATATCGAGATGACTACCGCCTGCGCTTTTGCGCGACAAGTGCAACTGGGGTAAACTTACAATTTTTGCATATAAATTTAAGGGGTTATTCTTGAGTGCAGCATGCGCCAGGACTGATCACAGAAGCCGAAAACGCTGGGTGATCACTATGTATTTTTCATATTCCTAAATTTCCCTGCAGCATCACAAAGATTTCTTTTCTTTTCCTTTTAACCGAAATGAAAGATAAAAATTCCCCAAATGAGGGAAAATTTCTGCATGAAAAACCACTGAGTCATTGACGGTGCATGATACGGGCTGGTATTTTTTTAAAATATTACACCCGTGCACGCATGCTGTCATAAATAAATGTAGGTTATGGATGCCTCGACCTAATAAATTTTGCGATAATAGTAAAAGCGTTCGAGAAATCTAGAACTTGCGGCACATCACGCATGAAGGAAAAGCGGCGCCGGTGACACATAACGCCACTGTTATCGACATCGCCAAGAACAATCTTTCGTGTCGCGGTTCGCGCGCAAAACAAAGGAAAAGAGGGAAAGAAACGTCTCGGGAAGAAACGTTATTGGTCACGCTTATCACCTGTAACCAGTTTGCTTGGATGCGTTGTCACTTGTCACGATTCACGGTCGCTGTGCAACGCTGAAATGTGCGGTCTTCGAGGTTCTCAAAAAGTGGTGAGCGATCATTGTTTGCTTAGCAGAGCGCACTTTTATATCTGTGCAAGGTTCTGCCTAATTACTGCCTGGTCTTGCAGCCTGTCGTCGAACATGGGATTAGTTTGTTTTTAAAAAGTGATCACGCCTGTTGTGAGCGGCCGGCTGCTGTCGACCCTGGCCCTGGCAGCATTGAGTGGGAAAGCTTCGGTGATGCTGGCAAAGTAGTTAGGACCGCAAAGTTGAACGACACACTTCAGTGACACGGGCTAACCATTGCCATTCGAATCAAAGTATTGATACTTGTGTGACATCAAGCCTAACCTTTCCGCACAAAGTTGCAGGCACTGCCCATGTCGCGTGTGCCGCGGTGCGTAGCGATTGACAGTGCCCGATCGATTTACCGACACTTGTAACTTTAGTGGCCAACTACTTTCTAGCTCGTTGTGCTAAAGCCGCTCCCCGTAACAGTGCGTTCCCTGAACGTCAGGTTCCGCGTATTCCGCGTATTTTTTACTGTGGGATTGTCACGGCTCCTAGCCTCCCGGCCTACTGTTTTGTTAACAAGGACTACTGTATGGGCGTCACGGTTCATCGTAGCTTTCGGCCTACGCTCTGTTAGCGACCCAGGTGAAAATATGTTTAACTGGGGACAGCTTGGACCAGTGTAAGTGGGTTATGGTCAAATTCCCAGTGGGGACCAGTTGCCAGCGGGTTCCAACTGGGGCCCGTTGGCAACTAATCCTCACTGGGAATTTGACCATAAACAATTTGAACTGGTCCCAGTTTTATTTATTCTATTTATTTATTTACATGCCCTAAGGACCCAGGAGGTCATTACATAGGGAGGGGATTAGGAAGATTTTCAACACATGTACAATACATTAAATGTTCACAGGCATCATTATATAAAGCTTAAATGAAAAAAAAAACTACACACATAGCAGTGATAAGGAAAAAGCATATATATAAACTCTGCGGAAGAAAAGGTACGTTAATAAAAATGCAATAGGCTACAGGTAACCAATTGTAGGCGCAAATAACATACTAGTTACGCTAGTAGGGTTAGAGATGTAGCTCTTTAGTTTTACAGATTGGAAGCAGTTAGTAAGAAATTCCGGTATCCATTGTGTTGTATTGTTTTCAAGCTTCAGATTGCAAATTTTTAGTTCTAAATGTTTGTAGGGGACCCTATCAAATGCCTTTGAGCAATCAATAAAGATGGCATCGACACGACGGGAAGAGTTAAGCGCAGAATGAAGGTCAGTAATTAGTTCGAAAAATTGCGATTGACATGAGAAGTTTTGACAAAAACCGTGTTGGTTGTTTAGGAGCAAGTTATTTAAATTAAGATAAGCCATTATATTTGTGAATAGGATATGTTCGAGAAGTTTGCAGCATATGGACGTCAAAGAGATTGGTCTGTAGTTATTGGGCTGAGTATTATCACCAGATTTGAATATTGGGATTACGTAAGCAGATTTCAGTCCTCTGGAAGACAACCTGTATCTAAAGATTGTTGAAAAATTAACGCGAGCAAAGAGGCTGAGAAGTGGCTGGTTAGTTTTAAAAGCTTAGTGCTAATACCATCAGGGCCGGGGCTGGTTTTAAGAGCTAAACGATCTATTGCACAAGCTACACCATGTGCAGTAATTGTGATAGGAGAAAATTGATTAGAGATAGTTAGCTGTGGCAAATTTAGGTTGCTATTGAACGATCTCTCGATTGTGTGAACGCAGGAAAAAAAAAAGGTCAAGTTTTTCAGCACAGCCGGCTAAGCTCAGGGTGTTGCCATCCTCTCCACAGAGTGCTGGCACTGACTCTCTTTTCTTAGGATTTACAGTGCTCCAGAACTTCTTAAGGTCAGTTTTGAACATGTTAGGTAGTGTGTCATTGAAGTACTTATTTTTCGCTTCAGAAATTGCAGCTTCTGTTTGGAAGCGTTTTTATAGTTCTGCCAGTCCTCTGATGCGTTCATTCTCGACGCTTTAGTGTACGCTCTCCTTTTCTATTAAGCCATCTTTTAATGTCAGGGGTGAACCATGGATCGTACGCTCTTTCAGTTATTGTTATCACCGACACACAATGACGTTCTATTTCTTTTAATTTGTCACGAATAAGCACCAGTTTTGTTCAGTAGACTGATTAGGAAAGTTAGATATAAATTCATCCAAAAAAGACTCTAGCAATCTGTTAAGCTTATCTGTGTCTGTGCGTGCATAGTTAAATATATCCTTTCTGATGTTTGTTTTCTTGGCATGTGGAAGAGACAGAGAGCAGTGAACTGCCCTATGATCACTTATTTCTTCCAAGATCTCAACTTTAGTGCTGTCGGGATGATTGGTTAATATAAGGTCTGAAATATTGCTGTCACGTGTTGGTTCCTGCACAATTTGTTGTAGATTGTGATAATAGAGAAGGCGCAGAAACCTAAGCTGTTCATGGCGATTAGGGTGAGCAGGGACAGGTAAAGTGGACCAGTTGATTGAAGGATAGTTGAAGTCGCCACCAAGTATTAGAAAACAATTGGGAAACTTGAGAAGAACGGAATCAATGGCTTCCTGAAAAAGCTCAATGAAATCCTGCCGGCAATCAGGGGGCCGGTAACAGGCACCAATTATGCAATGAATGTGTTCAAAATATGATGAAACCCAGACAATTTTAAGGGGGGAATCTAAAGGAAGAAGCAATGGCTGATAGATTTCTTTTATGGCAATAATAACGCCACCACCTCGACAACCCATTCTACCTTTAGGAAACAGAACAAACGATGATGGAAACGAAAGTTTACTGTTCGTTACATTCTCAGTCAACCATGATTCCATACCTACGACTATATCAGCTGAGGACGTGTACACGAAGGCGTTTATTGCATCAAGCTTTTTATAAACGCTGCAAAAATTAAATAAAAGTAGTGAGACCCATTTTGACAAGTTTGGCGTGTGGTGACGTGCTTTACAGGGTCATTCAGGAGGGTTTTGTTTATTTGTTGACACCATGACAACGCAATCATTCACAAAGTCATAACAGAATGTGGAACCATGCATCTGAAGCTTGTTAAAACGCACCGTATATTTTTCATCGCCTTTGCATTGAGCCTTAGCGTAGTCGCGTAACTTTTTTCTGGCAAGTTGGACTTTTGGCGAGAAATCTTCCTTAAGCCAGACCTTGGGCTTTTGGAGGTCTTTCAACTTTGTGGCGCTAGACAGAGTTTCTAATTTTGTTTTGAAGTTCAAAAACTTCACTATGATAGGGTGATCAAAGTCGGGTCGGGGTTTTCCTAATCTATGAGCACGTTCGATGTCACCAGCCTCAATTTTCAGATGTGTTGAAAAGAATCTTTTGACTATTCTTTCGGACTTTACATACCCTTCGTGATCTTCTTCTGGAAGGCCTTTGATTATAAGGTTATTTCGGCTCATTCGATTGTTCATATCGTCCACGACGCCAGCAAGACCTTTGTTCGTCTTGCAAACATTTTCTTTTACTTCCTGGACAGTGTCGATGACACTTTCAACGTTTTTTGTCAGGTCTGATACTTTGTGCACGGTGTTTTCTAGGCTTGAGAGGCAGCACTCAATGCTTGTCTGCTGCTTGATTTCAGTTAAGCTGGATGTGGTTTCATCGTGACACTTTTTTAGCAAGCTGAGCACATCCTCGATCTTAGGACCGGGATTTGCCTCCACGTCGCCAGCACAAAGCAGTAGCAATTCGAGACACATAGACAGCAAGAGAGTCGAGGGCCTAGGGCTGAGTACATGGATAAGACTTGATTTGGCAGAGAAACGGCTGCCGAAGAAACATTTAGGCATTCAATTAGCAAAGAACGAACCAATGCGAGCACGATAACTACACACATCAATACCCATGTTCAAAAAAAGGGATTTGCAGGCCACATGAAATTCAGTAGAAGAAATAACAATCAAAATTCATACCTAAAACGGTAGAAAGCAATGGTTAGGCAATTGCCACTTGTGGCCGCAAATCCCGGTGGTTTGTCCCTTCACTTCGGTTTTATTGGTTTGAAGGCGCTGTCATCGCTGATGTCATGTTGGTGGTCAGTGTCACGGAGATGGAACGATCACGATCGGTTCGGTCTTCTATCTTTGATAAGCAGCCAGGTGGCAGTCAGTACGAGGCAAACCTTGCAATGCTAAAACGGTAGAAAGCAATATTTAGGCAGTTGCCACTTGTGGCCGCAAATCCAGTTACAGTGGCTAGAATAGGGAAGTGTGATGACCGCGCCGTGTAGCGCATGGCCTTTTAGGAGGAAACCGCCAGGTGGCGCCGGCACATGTTTGCACATCAGCAACTACAGGGGAATTTTTATTCAGAAAGGCAAATAGAAATAGCTACTAAACAAATGGAGAAAGTAATCGCTGAGGATAATAAAACATCGTGGACGTACACGAATCTAATTAAACTGAGCTAGAGTCTGCTAAGGCACGTGACAAGTCACCCCGGTTTTAAAAGGAGACACAAACCCAAGAGTTGGTGGTATGAGGAAGTTAAGAGAGCCATAGCAAAACGTCAGGAAGCCTCTAGGGAACACAGACATGCTAACCAACGGGGTGAACCAACAGATGATGTTGAAAGAAAATGGGACATTTTTCTAAGCTGTAGAAGGGAAGCATCTCTTCTGATCAATGAAAAAATTTGAAGAAAGGGGGCTCAGTGGCTGGCAGAAATACATAAAAAGGATAGAAAGGCAGCTGCAAAATTTTTGGAACCATCTAAACTCCCTAAGAAATGAGACAAGCCTAGAGCAGAGGTTTATAAATACAGCTCAAGGTGTTAGGCTAGAAGGGCATGAAGCTATTGAATATATAAGAACAAGGGTGACAAAAAAAAATTTTAACAAAGAAGTACCTGATGCACCTTAATAGACAAGGATGGATCAAGTAGCGCAGTGGCTCCATTTTCACAACAAGAGTGAGAAAGGGCTGAGAAGAAGGTCCTAGAAGTACATCAACAGGCCCTGATGGCATCCCAATCATGCTGATAAAGACATTGGGTCCCAA